CCCCTTGTTTTCACCTGATACAACAGTGAAAAGGGAAGCTTTTCTGCCAGTGCCTAAGACAAAAAGAAAGTATCTCAAAAAGAAGTACCTGGCATTCACAGACACTATTTTCTATTCACCATTCTTGCCATCCAGTAAAATGAAGACAACCTCACAACCTCCATTTCATATCACTTCACACCTCCTGTCACCTCTGAGCTCTGGAGAATATCAGATGTTAGTTTGGGGAAAACAACGCTAACAAACCCTGACAAAACCCAAGACACATTGATGTCTTCACAGGTTAATGGCTGTGTTTAGGTCTTGCAGATCACACACGCACCATTACTAAACAAAGCACCTTCTTGTTCCATGGATGGAGGTATAACTTGTGTTCCTCAGAGGGAAAAAGAAGGGGTTTTAGGCAGTGGAATCTGAGGCTGATGGACAGGGCTCACCCCATGGCTGTGCCTCACGCCTTGTCTCGGCCTTTCTCCCAGTGCTAAGCTGGGAGCTGTCATTACAGCCCAGCTCCTCTGCATCAGGCAGACAAAACAAGTAAGCAGAGGTAATGGGGATGGATATGACACAGCAGCAGTGGGGAGGAGGCTATGCTAGCCCCGATCCTAGGCTTGCAGGCAGGGATGGATCTTCTCTTCCTGCCTCCTCCTGGAGACCCTCTGCTCTGCTTGGGTTTTAGTGCCTGGAGAAGGTGCCGTCCACTACCACACGCCCAAGCGCAGGCTGCCAGTGCCTCTGGCGTGGTTATAAAGCAGTACAACCTACAGAGGCTATGGGACAGGCAGAGAGCCTGCTGCTCTCACCACACCTGCAGCATCTGCTTCAGTCCAGATGTGGACTTAGCATTAGTGAGAGGAGCCATTGCACAGCCTTGAGAAGGTAACAAACACCTGCACAGAAAGCATAGAGGGCACTGAAGGCAGTGTGGAGATGCGTCAAGCTGTCTGTGCTGTGCTGCCCTCAACTTCTCCAAAGCCACTTCTATGAGGGCTTGAACTCCTCCTCACCCATAAGAGTGCTGCTAAATAAAGGAAGCTGTTAACATCCACTTGGATATGTTCAGTGTCTCCCAGGCACCACGGGCGATCATGCACGGCAGGAGGATGGAGGTGGCAGTGCCTTGATGTTGCTCCTGCCTCACCTTGCTGGCTGGCTGTCTACCCTCACCCTCTCAAGTCTTCCCATTCTGTCATCCAGAGATTTCTGACCTCAGGAATGGAATGACCTCACTTTTCTCTTGAATGCTTCCAAGTATAAAGCAGCTCACACGATGGGCAAGCGCCGTTCCTCCTGCTTTTCACTGCGGTCTTCCCACAGATTTTGTACTGTGGGAGAGCTCTACTCGACTGGGCTGCTAATCCCCTGATTTCAGGCTAGAAGATCATTTGCAATCTGCTCTGCTGACTCGCCATGCCTATGCAATATCACCCTAATGAATACCTACTCCACTGAATACCAAGTACCCTTTAGATAGGCAATAATATCCCCTGTCTCTCCCCATGATACACGTATCAGCTCAAATCTGGGGAATACTTCAGGAGATGTGTTCGTCAACTGCTTGAATAAATCACCCTATGGAGATGATATATTTACCCTTTTTTCTTGAATGCATTGCTTTTCAATATATAATACTGTTTGCACAATAATCTTTCACCTGGCACAGCCAGCCTCCATGCAGAGGTGCTCCTGTGGCACTTTGCATTTGATGCTGGATGCTATTGAATCAATATACAGCACATTAAGCAAGGAGTCGAAAGCTGTATGTGTTAATCAGCATCAGCCCCATGGGGACCAGTTTGGTCTCAGGGAAGGGACACGGGTTGGCTCCCTCAAACCTTTGGGATTCCAGAAGCAATGCCAAATTTCCTCAAGGTGCTGCAACAAAGATCCTTCCCATGGTGCTTTAGGGACAGGGGCAACGGAAGGACTTGGATTTAAGCCTTGCAGAACTTTACCCTTAGGGTGTGAATGAGCTTTCCAGGGGGTTCATCCAGAGCAGGTTTCTGCCTGCCAAGTGCTGCCAGCAGTATGTGAGCAGTGAAAGCTCAGGCCGGGGAGCCTCTAGATGTCACTGCCATGCAGCAAAAATGGACCCCAGTGCCAGAGCAGGATGGGGACACCAAGCTGGGTGTCACAGCTGGGGCACAGATGGCAGCAGGCACCCAGGACCCATGGAGGGCACTCACAATCTGCCTGAGCAACCCATTCCCCAGGGCTGAAAAGATGCTGCTATTGTAGGACTGGGAGCAAGGAGTGTAGGCAGGGATTGCAGGGTGAGGCATTTCAGGTAAGGAATTGCCAGGAAATAGTAAAGCACTTCAGTTCCAGCCATGTGGCAAAGAGATCTTAGAGACAAGAGCTAAGGCTAAGCACAATAATGCCAAATACAGCTGGTACCAAACCCTTACCCCCAGCCAACAAGTGGTCCCAGCATTTTCCTGCTGAGCCACCTAAACACAGGGTGGTCACTCCTGATGGATTTCCATCTGCCTCCCTGAATTTGCAGTACTGGAAGAAGGACAGGTATATCTCATTTGAGAAAGGGTCACCATCTCACTTATGGCAGCAGCAAGAGCTGAGTGCTTCCAGGCTTGCAGGCATCCCTCCACATGGGAATACGGGTCCCTTACTCTTGCACCCTTACCTGAGAGATGCCTGTGGCTCTGCAGCCCGTGGTCAGAGCATTTTAGGTGGCATGGCATGGCTGGTCCAGGCTTCAAGACCTGCACTGCATTAGGAAACAAAGATAAAGATCATTAGTGCGCACCTAAAGGCGCGTGAGGTGCATGAGCCAGTGGGCTGCTCACAGCCAGGGTGGGCTCACTGCAGCATGGGCATCAAAACCACAGCCTCTGAGGCTTCTGGGAATGCTGCATGCTCTGGGAACATCTGCAGGACCAAGCCCTGCAGGCAAGATGTGCAAGAGCTTCCTTCTCCATCCATCCTGAGATGACCTGGGGACCAGCTCTGCCAGGCACACGCCAGATGTGGGGCCTCTGGGTCTCAGGGAAAGGGCAGTAGCAGCAGGGCTTCAACATCTACATCCAGGGGTTGTGTTTGCAGGGTCAGCTGTCACCACTTCTGCACCAAAGTCCTTCTAATGCTAAAGATGGTCTCAGACACTACCTAATTTCATCAGCTGTTTATCCCATCTTCAATGCTAGGGAGTTCAGAATCAGAAATCTCACCTGCTTCAGCTTCTGCTTCTTCATGTTGCCAGCTTCTCACCCTCTTGAGGGTTTTAGCATCATCAGGATTGAAAAATAAAGCATTTGTTCAAGGTCCTTCTCTTCAATTTCTAATAGCAGATGCTCTCAGAGCTTTCAGATTTGTCCCTGAGGACTTGAAACTGATTTTAATTCAGAAAGTTGGAGATGATATTATCATAATTGCATAAATCCCAGAGCTTTCACAAGTGTGAGAAACCTCATGGGGACTGCACTAACATTTCAGAGCTGGCAAACACAGAGGAAGGTACACAGAGGAAGGTGCACAGAAGAATCCAACAGGGGGACCATCCCCATAAAGTTTGCCTTCACAACTTAATCACACAAAGATGAGATGCAGAAGTTATCCCTCTTTATCTAACACCCCACTGATCTGAGCTGCTTTTGTTTTTAATGTTAGGCCCTGTGTTTGTCAAATGTATGTTGGTTTTGGAAATAATAGTCACTGCTGTAGATCGGCCAAATCATTGTTTTTCTCCCTATTGACCCAACATTTCTTTTTTTCCAGGCTACCAAACACCCTTGACTTTGCTTGTGGGATGGTTAATCAACAAGTCTGTCACAATGATGGATTCCTCCTGAATTGTTGCTTAATTAGCTTGGTTGGAAGTATAAATCAAGTGGGATACCAATTCTTCCAATGCTACAGACAGGCAGCCACACTCAGCTTGACAGCAGTGAGTTATTACTTTCTGCCCCAGTGCAGGACCAGCATGCAGGTGCCAGCCTGCAAGCCCAAAGGGGCCATAGGTTCATCTTGGAGAGCACTGACATGCACAGACCACACACATCAGAGTGAAGGGTTGGTGAGGTGGAGGTTGGTGACCAGCTGCAGGGGCTCTGTACATGGGCATACACACACCCCTTGAATGATATGAGCCACAGCCCCATCATCTGCCCATGGAGAGACAAGTTTTGTATTACTTGGGATGCCTGGTCTCTGCTGCTAACAAGGCCAAGTTTAGAGACAAGGGCTGGAGAACCTCTCCTGTGAAGAAAAGCTGTGAGAGTTGGGTTTGTTCAGCCTGGAGAAGAGAAGGCTCTGGGGAGACCTTAGAGCAGCTTCCAGCGCCCAAAGGGGCTGCAAGAAATTGGGAAAGGGGCTTTTCGTAGGGACAGGACAAGGGGGAATGGCTTTAAACTGACAGAAGGGAGATTGAGGTTAGACATTAGGGAGAAATTCTCCTCTGTGAGGGTGCTGAGGCCCTGGCACAGGGTGCCCAGAGAAGCTGTGGCTGCCCCATCCCTGGCAGTGTTCAAGGCCAGGTTGGACACAGGGGCTTGGAGCAACCTGGTCTAGTGGAAGGCGTCCCTGTCTGTGGCAGGGGGTTGGAATTGGATGAGCTTTAAGGTCCCTTCCACCCCAAACCAGTCTGGGATTCTATGATCTTTGTCTCATGATAAGCAGCACTGCCTTCCACAGAAAAGGAATTACACATCATAACAATACATTGCTTGGAAATTAAGATTTTCGAGAGTGATCTTAATAGCTTGTTATTTTTATAGGTGGGACTTTCATGCAACAAGAATGTATTTAAACCTGTTGACCTAAACTGAATTTCACAATTTTACCATGAGTAAATTCCATGTAGCTACAAAGAGCTTGTTCTCAGCATGTCTGAGCCAGCTAGAGCACCCCTGAGGTGTGTGGTGGACATCACACAGAAGTACTTCTAGATCTCTATTTACCCTTTTTTGACTTCCCAGGCTAAACTAAACAAGCATACTTCTCTGAATGGCTCTACTAATATTAATACTTTTTAGCAAAGCATATTTATTTGTCCATGGCCACCTTTTTCATTTATCCTATCTCTTTGCCAGCATATTCAAAGACCTTAATAAATGACCAGTGATTTCAGGTGGGATGTGTAAGTCACACATTGGAGAAGGGATCTGTTTGTTTAAAACTAACTGAAAAAATATTAGAATAACCTAATTTTAGTGATTTCCTTTCCTATCGTTTTCAGTGAAAGTTTGGGCTCTCCAAGCTGCAGAACAAGACACTGCATGGACTGACCTCTTAATAACAGACTCGGATTCCTTCTTTACCCTGTGACATAGTTGTTGCTCTGCCATGTAACATCTCATTGCCAAAGAAGTGAATCTCTCACTAGTGTGTGGATGACCCAATGGAAACTTGTGTAGAAGGTCTGGGTGAGGCATGGTGTGAATTATATTGCCATGGAAACCCTGAGTTCCTTTCATCCATTGACATTTGCATCCTTTTGGGCATTTTCACAGGCACAGTTTTCAGAGATCTCTTTTTTCAGTAGTTGAGTGGAATTGATCAGTAGATTCACTGTTACCACCATAACAAGAACTCTGGAGGTGGAGTTTGTGTGGGGGCTACAGCAGGGTTACTGTTATCTAGCACCTTTAAGCTAACCTTCTGAGCAGGAATTATATCTGAAGAAGCCCTATACTTTAAAGACATCAGGGCAGAGAAAGAGGAACTTGTCTCTTCCCAAACAGTCCTGATATTGATGCTGGGAACCAGAAACAAACCACTGAGCAATCTGTTCGACATCTCTAATATGCCTCTTCATTGCCCTAGCAAATCAAATGGAATCCCTACAGCTGGTGAACTGAAATATGCACGAGACTTGATTTTCTTTTTCTTTCAATTTATTAATAAAAAGTTAAAAAAAATCACAAAGCTTCTGGCAATATTTATGAATTATGACTAATTTCTTCAACCTTTTTCTGGCATTTAGAAATAGCACACAAGCAAATTAAGAAATAATTCAAATACAACTGTGTCTTAATTATTTTTGTTACCTCTGTGATACACTCCTTCCACAAAAAGCCTGATTCTATTCTTATTTGCAATGGAGTTAATGGAGCTGTTCCTGACTAATGTGCATTAACAGGAGAACCAGCCATACTATTTACAGGAAGATGAAAGGAGATTATTATAGTCAGCACTTTGAGCTTGCCCAGACCATTAAGTACTAGCAGCTCGCCCATGGAGCACTCTCATTATCTCCTCTTCTCTGTCCAGAGCAACTCCCCTTTGCCTGCAGAGGACTCTTCATCCTGACATCTGAGTGCCATCAAGTGTAAGCAGATGTCCATGGGAAACCTGGCTTCACTCCTTCACAGTGGCTTTTCAAGAGCCCCATGGATGGCTCTTGTATCGGATGGCCTTGGGCTGTGTCCTGCAGAGGAGCAGAAAAGCCACCTATAACAGAGGTAAAAAAGACTCACTCAAAACACAGGTAGCTGGAGATCAGTCCTAGAAGTCACTAATGAGAGTATTCTATTCAGCAAACACCAAGTGTTTGTTAGGCTCTAGTTTGAAGAGTTTCAATCCTCTGAGGGGCCCGTGCTATGAGTGCCCAGTCTCTGGCAGCAAGTGGCTGCTAAATTGCTCAAGTGATTTTAATTCAAAGCCGATAAGTGAAAATTATGATTAATTATATATTCGCAGGAGTTATGATCAGTTTATGAATGATTCATGAAAGAAAAAAGGAAGGCTAAATAGACTATGAATATCATTTGCAAGCAATAATTCAGGCAACTTCATCCCCCAAAGCGAGGTCCTGCTAGTCTCATGTTTACCTAATGACAGCCTGCAGTGCAAGGGGTGGGTGCTGTGCTGTGAATGATCTGTTTCTGCACACCAACAGCAAAATACAGCTTTGCTGTGACAAAGGGAAGGTGCAGTCTCCAAAGCTCTCCAAAAACAAAGGCCATTCTTTCAAACAAATAGCTGTGCAGACTGTGCTCAGAGGGGTGAAGACATATTGAGGGGAGAAGCTCAGCTCCTGATGCAGATGGACGTACTGGATGCAATTAGGAATGAAGACAGAAGAGCAGCTGGCCATGAATGCTGTCCTGGAGTCAAGGGACATGGAGTTGTCCCTGCCTTGAGTCTGAATCTACCAGGTTTTCTCCCAGAGGGAGTGTAGTTTACACCCTGATTTTACATTTCCCCTTCCAGCTTCTCACCAAAACTGGCATCCAATATCAACTGCCTTCAGAGACAGGATGTGGGACACCAGAGATGCTGCTTGTACATTAAGGCCAGGTTGGACGGGACTTGGAGCAACCTGGTCTAGTGGAAGGTGTCCCTGCCCATGGCAGGGGGTTGGAACTGGATAAGCTTTAAGGTCCCTTCCAACCCAAACCAGTTTGGGATTTTATGATTTCTAATTCCTATCTATAGGAAGGCTCATGGCTCATCTGGATGCAGTCCCTGGATTCAATGAAAGTCCTGTGCTTTGGGGTTTTTTTCACTCCATTTTGGAACTAGGTTGATAAGAGAAGTGTGTGACTTTGCCCAGGGGTGCTCCAGGAGTTCCTGGGCTCAGCTGCAATACAGTGGCAGTAGGCTGCTGGCTTCCCACTTCATGTTTTCTCTATGGATTACATTTTCTCCTTGTTTTCTCCTCAGTGCCAAATGTCTGGGACCAGTACTAGCACTTTATCATTGCAACAAGAATAGCTGCATCCGAGTGGGCTAATAGAAGCACAATGGTCAACATAGTTTAAGGATATATAATCAGTTTTCTAGGAAAAGGCAAGAGTTCTTCACAAGAACCAAGTGGCAAGATCAGAAAGGCTAAGTAAACTTCAGGGTAAAAAAGCCCCTCTCTAGGCCTGACATGGAGGGAGCAAACATAATGAAGCACAAGGTAGAGACTGTTGTTCAAAGGTAAACTAAACCACTTAATTCCATTAAAAACGTGAAACACTGACCAAGAAATCTCAGTGACCTCGTATTTACATCCTGTTATTGGCTTTACATTTGCTGCAGCTATGTAAAAGATATGCAGGACTAATTGCATCCCACAGAGAAAGACAAAAGAGACAAGTTCAGGTCTATTGAAAATGTATTATCTCAGGAGGGAACGGGGGCACGTGGCTAACTGAGCCATTGGTGGTCTGAGCAACCACATCAGCAACTCCCCAGAAAAACCAGCCCAAAGTCCACTTCCCTTTGCAGGCCCACTCATGCTGCAGCTCTCACCCTTCTCTTTCTCTCAAAACCCACCATAACCCCAGGGTGAGCTTTCTGTAAGGTCCCCACTCATATTCACTGTGGCTGCTGTAAGGACATCCACCCCTTTCTCTCAGTATGTATAGTACCAAGGAGATTTCTTACCAGCCACATTGAGCTCTGACATCTCTTTAGGTGTACATGACAAGAGTCAGCCACTGGAAAAAGAAGGAGAAAAGGTGCATTTAAATAGTGATGTTATGCTAAGTATTCAAACATGTGTCTCGGTACCTTCAGGCTCTGAGTCAATGACTACAGTTCTTTTGTCCCGCACAGGATAGATAAGGGGTTTTAGAACTGCCTTTCCCCCTTATTACAATTCAGACCCAGACACACTTTCCTTATGTTGCTTTCCATGATAAATGATTGCAGCAGGAACAATTGCTGGGAGAGGCTGGCATCTGCGTGATTGCAAGTGGAAGGGATAGCAGGGTTTGGGAATGTGGTTATCCTGCAGATCATAACATAGGTTCAGGGCTTCTGCTTGGGAAATGCTCAGCTCTTGGTGCAAACCAGATTTAATGAACTCTGAGCCACTGAACTAAGCACGGAATGCAAACAGGAGCCAGCAAGATTGTAAAAGGATTTTGTGAAAGATCTTTTTAAACACTGTGTTGTCAAATAACAGTCCCCAGACTGATAAAATGCAGCACTCAGGCATATCACCATGGAGCACAGCAGGATTTTTGCTTCAGACTAGCTGATAAAAAGCTTGATGGATCCCCACTCCGCTGTGCCTGCAAGACAAACAGCAGCAGCAAGCATTTGTCTGCTATTTCCTTCTCAAAACCAAGACGGTTTGCAACTCAGAATTAACAGATGGGGCAATAAGAAATGAAGGCATGGATTTCTTTTTGTCACTTCCTCAAAGTCACTTTGAGCAATGTCTCCAACAATGAGAGTCTGGGGGCAGTAAGGGAAGACTCTGCTTTGGACATGGATGGCCACCACTGAGCTGTGCTTACCCTAACAAGGCTGCATGACTGGGAAATACCTCCCACCCATTACGCATATCCATCCAGGCAACACCACTGTTGGTGTCACAGGCAAAACCCCCAGTAACATACATCATGCATCATCTTTAACTAACATACTCAATGGGACCACTTTCAGACCTGGAGAGAAGGAAAGGAGCACTCTCACCTCTGTTGCTGTCATCAGAATCTGCGATCCACCCTCTGCCAAGTTTTGAAATGCATCTACAGATGGAACAAAGAAAATCTCATTTCATAAGGAGAAAACAAGAATGCAGGGTAGACATAAGGCTGTGGCAGCTGAGGAGCAGGGATGCAATCCCTGTGCTGGGATGCTCTGCCTTGGTTAAGGGGTCCACTCACACTGCCCTCCCTCTGCACATCTCTGTGCTGGGTACCCCCTTTTTCTTGGCCCTGGGATCACAGTATGGAGAGGCATCTCAATTGCAGGGCCACAATGCAGGACGAGTATAGGGATAGGGAGTGCTCAATGTGACCGCTTTCATCTCCTCCTGCCATTTGTTCCAATTGCACCTCCTGCCTGAAGACTGACAAGAGAACAGTGAACTAATGAAACACATCTTCCCACAGGGAAACTTTCTGTTGGTCCTTTTCCATCCTCCCTGGCAGTGAGTGATCACAGTGTGTTCTAAAGAAACCGATTCTCTTGAAGTCATTAGTATGCCTTGCAAGCTTTTTCCAGGGAATATAAATGCAGATGCTTGCTGTTATTCAGCTCCAGTTGGAAATTAACATTGCTGAAAGTTTTCTGACAGAACACTTTGCCATCAGGAAATTTAAATCCATTCAAATATTGATATTCTATGTGCACATTTATATTGCAATTGGTCTAGGAGAAACGTTTAAATCCAAGTGTTTGGATAAAGTCAAAACATAGCATTTTGAGTTCTGTTTGTTTATTTTGAAATTACTTTTCTCCTAGAAAAGCGCTGTTATAAACAGTAGTAAAAACTTGGAACAAATTTCAGCCTGTCTATCCTTGAATGACATGTTCCTCCAGGAGCCTTTTTCCCCACCCTGAATGGAAAAGGCATTGTAAGACCATGAATGTTTTGAAACCTGCCTGGCTTTAGACAGAAGTGCATGGCTGTTGGGTGAGTGTAGGAACAGGGCATAGGGGGGCACTACCCATTTGGCCCTTAGGAGACAACCAGAGCTACTAGCACGATGAAGCACGTCCAGCCTATAGTGCTCTGAAGAAAGTCATAGAACAAGAAAACCCCATGTTGCACCCCGCTCCTTAGCAAGGTTGCATTTGCATGGCTGGGCTTGCACCTAACAGTCTTCCTAGGAACAAAAGACAGGGCTGAAGTTATCTCCTCTGGGTAGAGGTAAGTGCTCCTTCACTGCTTCATTAACTCCCATTAAATACAGTTTGCAAAGAAGCTGCTGCTTTTGCTTTGGGTCTTATCTCTGGCTGTCTTGAAAGGATAAGCAATGAGTTAATGGAACGGATTTTATCTTTCCTGCCGCATTCACACCATCATAAAGGTGAACTGCCTTTTATTTCCATGTGGCACTCTTACCCTCTCCTGTAGCGATCTTATTCACAATGATTTGAAAAGTTTGAGAAATATATTCCCCATTAAACCCTCTGTCAAGTGATAACTGCAAGAGTTGAGGGCGTTTTATGATCCTCATTACAGACAGCAATGAAACTTTCAGAGAGTCCTTTCCACATGGATGTAAAGAAGTTGTCTTTACACTGGCACATTAGTAAGTTGCAAGAGGACCTTTTTGAAGATAAAAGAAACAACCATGGAAGTAATTTAGGCACAAAAATGTTCATCTACAGCAGAAGACATGTAAAATCACAAGGAAATTTATGTTTACAAGTTATCTTTCTTTTAATGAAAGCATAAAATCAGGACACAGTCTGGCTTTATGAGCTGCACTCCCCTGAAATGGGGTTTTAGGCAGTGTCTCTGGGCGGATCCACTGACCACTATTGGCCCATCAAACATCAGTGGTAAAAGCACATAGGAAATAATGAACACTCATTTCCACGCACTGTCGAAACCCAGCTCATTCCAAAGATGAACTAAATTGCTGCAGCAATGTTCTAGCACGTGGATCACAATTGCTGGGTTTGTTTAACTACCAGCATTTCCAGTCAAAATGCTTATTATTAGAGTAGTAAAAATTATGCTTTCATAAAAGAGAATTCCATTTACTTTCAGGCAAAGGCTTATTTACAGACATTCCCTCCTTGCAACTGCCAGACAATGGCTGCACACAATACAGGCATGGGGGGGTTTTATCCTGAGAAGGACCTCAGACCTCCTCCTTGCCAAAATCTGAGAGAACTTTACATAAGTTGGTGAGGAAAATGTCTCTCCAATTAAAAGGGGGGAAAAAATATGTAAAAACACCTCCTTTGCTGTGATTTAGACTTCTCTGATTTTAACCACAAAAAGCCTTCCATCTGAGATGTGCTGCCTTGTTCCTCTCCACTGGGCATAAATGCATGCAGTCTTGCGTCAGTGGTACCAGCAACGCTCCACATCATCCTGCAGGGAGCTCTACTGTGGACCAGGACGCTCAAGCTTGTGTGGAAGGGCACCAGCACAAGGACACAGATTGGTTTCAGAAAATGAGTCTTAGTGCACAGGGGCTCTAAGGACAGGCCTGCAGAGGCCAGATTAATTCACGCAGCAAAAATGGATTGGCAGCTGAAGAAGCTCTGGGTATACATTAACATCACAGGGCAGCGTGGTGCTGCTGCAGCCCACAGGCAGTCTGATGAACTCTGATGGGAAACTGGGGGGTAACTTTCCTTCTGGCTCTTTTCAATGAGGGCATCACTGTATTCCCAGCTGCTTTCTCCCAGCACTAAACCACTCTCTACCAGCCAGCTGCTCCTGTGGAGACAAATGTGGCTTCTGGCAAACAGGCTGCTCAAAGGGCTGCCTGGACCATGCCTGGCCTTTGGGGGCAGGGTTGTTATTTCCAAGCTACGTGTTGGACACGTATTTTCACATCTAGCATTGTGTCCCTTGCCTCCTGCCTCTGCTCTCAGCGTGCCTTTGCGAGCTCCCCTGCTGCCACAGCCCCTGCCCTATCCCAGGCCCCAGCACTGAGACTCACAGGTCATGGTTTCAAGGCGCAGCATGCAACACACGAAGTCAGAGAAGCCGATTCTCCTGGCAGCATCGCCGTACCGCAAGGTCATCAGGCGCAGGAGCTGATCGTTAGCAGCCAGACCTGTGGGGGGGAAGAGGAATGACAGCACTGGGGACACACTGTGAGATGATGGACCAGCTCTGATGGCCTTGTACACCCTGCAGAGAAGCTGGGCTCTCCATCAGACCCCACATTGTCATGTTAGGTCTCTGCATCCCTGGAAACAACAGTTTGCCTTTCCCCAGGTTTGTGCAAAGGAGTTGGTGTACAGCGATGGCAAACCAAAAGCTCTTCCAGTCATTAGAACTGTGGCTTCAGTCAGCAAACAGGGAACACTGAACTAAATAACCTAGTGTTATCTTGCTTTGCCTTTTTAGCTTTCATTTTCTATAAGAAAGGGTGATATTCTTTGGCTTGTAACAAAGTCTGGCGTAGCATTTACAATACCACTGCTGCTTTCTGCTAAACAGGGAGATGCTACCTACCCGTGCTATTACGCGGTGCAGCATGCCTGGGATTCTTAATTTTTACATTTTCTCTTCTATTAGGAAATGGTGAAGGGTGCATTTCCTTTTTATTAGCTGATTATTCAGAATTTGTGTCACAGTCTGTTTGGATGGAAATTGGTATTCAATTGAATGAACAAAAATTGCCTTTTAGAATGATTCTTTTATTAGTTAAATAAAACTACCCTAAATGTGCTGGCTATCTAAAAGGAACGATTTAAATATGTTTTGCACTAAAGGCTGATTTGCTAAACAAAAGAGAAATTTTCTGCAGAGCGCTGGACTGATAGCTTTGGTTTAATGCATTCTCTGAGACTTCAGACAAGTCTCATTTGGCTCAGCTAGAAGAGAAGTAGCTTTCCTCATTTTTCAACCAGATCTGAACTTTAAAGTTAAATGCACTCTTCATGGAGTTAAACCAGTTAAACAAGCAGCAAAGAAGGACATGGTTTCTCCACATCTACGTAGGGGGAGATACACCCATGGAGGTGGGTTAGTACATCAACAAAATCCGGTTCCATGAGCCTAGCTGGAGAAGCTCTCCAGCAGGAAGCAGACACACAATGCTGGATATTTAAATAAATAAAATACATTTGGGCTTAAGGCACAATTCCAAGTAAGAGAAACCTGATTTTACTGTTTTTCCCCTAGGAGATAAATCCAGTAATTGAAAATCTAATTAATGACATTTCTTCTTTGATGCTGGTTTTAAACTGCTGCCAAGAGCCACTGTAGTAGTGAGCAGAGAGTTCTGTCTCGGTTTTAACCTTTGGGAGGCAGCAGGAATTCAATCGAGCTCCCTCTGGAGAGCATATTCCAACAAGCATTTCAGTGCTGCTTATAAGATGTTGTAATAATGTCTTACACTAATAAAAACCCAACAGTTTGGCACGGGCAGTGGGATATGCTCTGAAAACTGCTCACCTGGCAATGTCTCTCAATTACCTTCATCAGCAAGATCGAGGTGTCAGTCCTCCCTGTTCCCAAGATGTTTCAGTTATATGCTGTCGCTTGTTTGTAAGGTTACTTCCTACACCTTTTGCCTGCTGGACTCCTTACTCTGGTTTTAATCAGATTTTAAAACACAGACTTTATGCTTCCCTTTTTGTTTTTATTATTACTATTTTGATGCATTTAATATTGCCAATGAGCTGTTTCTAAATACATGTCAGGGCAGCACTGCTGTTAATGCAGCAAGCCTGCTTTATCCTGGCAGAAAATCTGACCCATCATTGTTAAGCTCTGAAGCATTAGGACAACAGTGACAATTAAGCACACAGCTCGCTGTTCTGCTGGGGAAAGCACTGAGCACTTCAGGGAGCAGCTGGCTGCAAGCTGTATTTAAATACATTAGAACCATTCCCAGGGGTAGCACCAAACACTTTCTGGGGCTGTCCACTCCTTCCTGCTTACAAGCCAGGACTGGGATCATCCTGATGCAAAGCCAGATCCAAATTGCAGCTGTCTGGATGAGAAGGTGGCAAGAATAAGCTTTACTTTTCTTTTTTCCCCCACTCAGAACTGCTTATAGCCTGGCATGTATTGAGTTTGTCATTTAACAGTGCCTTTTTATCCCTTCAAATGCTGCTTTGGTTGCCAGGACTCCTCAGTGTACAATTTTCCTCTCAGTTTTACACTTTAGCACCTTTCTCACAGAATGGACCTGGCAGCTTCTCCTCTGACATTTGGCACATTAGTGCTGTGCTCCTCAGGCAGATGCTAGTGCTCTTCAACCTCTCAGCAGCAAAAACGTTACACGCACATACCCTGTGCTGATGGCTTCTATGGATAACAATTCTGCACTGTGCTCTTCCTGGGGACAACACCCCTTTCCAAGCTCCAGGAAGCCAAATGGGAGCTTCTCTACTGTACAGTTGTTAGAGGATTGGTGGCTCAGAGCTGTATTTCACACACAAAGTCTCTGGACAGGTGACCCAGCTAAAATGTTTCGCTCAAATACTTCACTTGAATCCTGTGTTCCGCTCTGGGACCCCCACAAGAAAGACATTGAGGTGCTGGAGCAGGACCAGAGAGGGCAATGGAGCTGGTGCAAGGCCTGGAGCACAACTGTGATGGGGAATGGCTGAGGGACCTGGGGGGATTTAGACTGGAGAAGAAAAGGATCAATGGAGACCTTACTGCTCTCTACAACTGCCTGACAGGAGGATGGAGTCAGGAGGTGGTTGGGCTCTGCTCCCAAGGAACAAGGGATGGGACAAGAGGAAACGGCCTCAGGCTGCACCAGGGGAGGTTTAGATTGGGCATTGGGAACAATTCCTTCCCCAAAGGGCAGTCAGGCTTTGGAACAGGCTGCCCAGGGCAGTGGTGGAGTCACCATCCCAGGAAGTGTTCACAAACCGTGCAGACAAGGCCCTCAGTGCCATGGGTTAATGGTGGCCGTGGCAGTGCTGGGGAACGGTTGAACTGGATGATGTTAAAGGTCTTTTCCAACCTGGTTGATTCTACTATTCTGTTTGGAGGGCTCCCTTGCACTCACTGCAAGTTTCAGCATTCACATAGCCAACAGAGGTCAGTGCAAACTAAATAACTGCCTGTCACTGTGGCTTTCCCTTACAGACTTACTGCCCTGGAGAGAAAAGGCAGGAACTGGGGCAAGTGCTGAGCATCGACTCTTCCTTGCTCCTTTCTTCTACTGGATGCTCTGTCTGTGGCCTAGAGAGACTATAGATAAGCTGTCTGCAGGCTCTGGTCAGTGCTGTGCTTCTCTGCATCCCTGCTGCTGTACCAGCTGCATTGCAAAGGGTTTCTCCCTGAAAAGAGTTTCACTGCCCTACAACAATGCAAGTCTAGAGCAGAGCTGTGATTTAACTGGCACCTCTGTGCAATCCAAACCACTTTCTTCCTGAAGCTCTTTTTTCTTTCCTTTCTGTTTTTCACCCTTTCCCTCACTGCAACGGGGACAAGAAAGGGAGTTGCTCAGCACCTATGGACGTACCTGCTGCCTGTATTGCACTCTTCAGTTCAGATACATCCAGAAATCCAGACTGATTTCTGTCTTCCCTGCTGAAGATATCCTAAAAAAATCCAGAAAATGGCATATTTCAAGCCCATATCAACATTCCCCAAATTTACTACTGCACCCAATTACACAGAATGCTTTCCCTCCTTAATAAATAGGCTGCAAGGAAGTTCAACAGGTGAGATGGGGTGACCATGACAAGGGAGACCCATTTCCAGAAGGCTCAGGCAGTATGTTACTGTGCAAGAAATCCCACAGTTTTGGGTGTGTGGAAGCCTTTTTGCCGACTCTCCCTGGTTAATGTGTGCAGGCAGCAATGGAAATACTCACACTTGAGGTGCTGTCAGGGGGAAAAGCACCATTGCTAGAAAGGGAACTGGCACCCCATGTCCTAGGTGGTCTAAGGCCATCTCAGGAGGCATGAAACAAAGCAGAGCCCACCCAACCCTGATCAACCCTAGAAAGCAAACTAGTGTCCTCACTGCTTCTAGACCGAATGCATATCCCAGAGCAGAGACATTTCTCCCAAACTTTCATCGGATCCTACACGTTTCCACTACAAACTGCAGCAATGAGGAAATGACATTTTTCAGATTACTCCGTTCAAGAACTCATTTCAGCTCGGAGAGCTTTTAAAAACATTGCCAGTGGTGGCACAAAGATTTCCATCAAACTCTGAGCCTAATTGGTCTTCCTACCTTTTCCCACTTTTCCCTCAGTGTTCCCTGCAATAGAAAAGCTTCGGCTGCTCGTTTGGAGCACTTTACACACACCACTGCCCCCTAAGCCTTTGAATGAGAACAAATCTGACCCCCTAAGCAAGCAGCATTTTTCCCCCCAGTGCTTTGATCTCACCAAGCATCTGCGCCCTGCTGATGAAAAGCCCAGGAGTGCAGTATGAGCAAAGAGAGCAGCCCCCATGTACCATGTACTTAGTGAGACTTCGCCAGAGGCTCCCGAACTCCTGCAGTGTGAGTCGGCCGTTCGAGTTGAGCTGTGCATTTAGTTAAGTATTGAGCAGTTAATGAGAGCTAGACCTGGCTGTCTTTGTTCCCAAGGATGCTGCCTTCACATAAAGACGGACATAAGGTGCAGTCTCTTCTATCTGTCACTTTATGTTGAGAAAGCCAAGAGCTTTTGTGCTCTCAGTCATGCTCAGACTTCAATTCACCTTCTTGGCACATTGTACACCTGCTCGTATCTGTGCTCACAAGCAACAAAAGGTTTCTGTTTATACAGCACCTTTAACCACAAGGGAACCTGCAGTGATCACTTCAGTTAACATTTAGCCACTGAGCACAGAGGTCCATGTGGATGAACACAACCCCGTGCTCCAGGCAATGTGTGCATATTGCCTTGCCTCTGTACACGAAGCAGCACAGTATTAGCTCCAGGTGGATCCTCCTGGAGGAACAGGGACTGAAGGAGCCAAGAGCACAAGGATCCGATTCCGACTGCTGTTGTCAGAAGGCACCAGCAGCCTTTGAGCCATGCATATACCACATGTGAGGAAACACTTCCTCACCATGAGCTCCAGGAGCCCAGGGTGTCAGTAGACATCCCCTGGGGATGCTTGAAAGACTATGCCAGTGGACCTGCTCCCCTCTACACACCATCTAGGAGTTCTGGGCAGATGTGCACCTCACCTAATGGAGCTGGGATGGTGAAAGCTCCCGGAAAGCAAAACTCATCACCAGTGAAATATAAGCAGGTAAGTGCCACTGCTATAAAACCAGAGTGAAAAAAGCTGATCCTATCTTTGTAGGTCAGGGTAGGTCACACTGTACATGGGCAATATGCTGCCCAGAGAATGAAAATCCATCTTGAATTAAAGCAGAGCAGTAGCTTTGTCAGTTCTTTGCATCTGCCATGCATTCATAGTGTCCACTTAACACAGGAGGGGCTCTGGAAAAGGGGGAAAAGTCTCTTTCACTGGCTAGATGCAGAAAGCTGTAAATAGAGAGGGACCTCTAGTCATTTTTATGCATTCTATGGCAGTTGGCAAAGGTCTGAATATGTCTCAAAGTTATTTCAAGAGATAATGAGCAAGCAAGGGGGAAGAATTCATGTTTTCATCAAGGAGCAATCTTGTTCTACAATGGCCAGCAGTGTATTTTCAGTTGCTGTGGTTTTGGCTGGGATAGAGTCAATTTTCTTGCTAGTAGCTGGTACAGTTCTGTTTTGGACTTAGTGTGAGAATATTGATAATACACTGATCTTTTAGCTGTTGCTAAGTAGTGCTTACCCTAAATCAAGGGCTCTTCAGTCTCATGCGCTGCCACTGAGGAGGGGCACAAGCAGCCATGAGAGAGCACAGCACAACCAGTACAGCTGACCTGAACTAGCCCAAGGGATATTCCATACCATAGCGCATCATGCTTAGTGTAGAGACAGGGGGTGTTGGCTAGGAGCCACTGGTATCTGTTCAGGGATGGGCTGACAACTGGTCAGCATGTGGTGAGCAATTATATTGTGAATCACTTGCATTTCCTGAATTTTATTCCTCCTTTTTTTTCCTATTATTATTATTACTATTATATTTCAGTTCATTTCAATGATTAAACTATTCTTATCTCAACCCACAGGTTTTACCTCCTTCCAGCTCTCCTCCCCATCCCACCTGGGGCAAGGTGGGGGCACATAGTGAGAGAGTGGCTGCATGGTGTTTAGTCACCAGCTGGGGTTAAACCATGACACCAGTGTTGTCTTATTAACGGTAACAAACACATGTGATCTATCTAAATAGGGAAAGATACATTGGAAAAGATGAATGGCCTGCCAAAAGATGATTTGGCGGTGACAGTGTTTCTTCTCCTAATACCAGCCTGGGTGGCAGTGATAGCAGCCTGCTTAAGCTGCCATCCCAAGCCACTGTGGTTGCAACCATGCTGGAAGTGCTGAGCTATGCCTGAGCTCTGTGCTGTCCCCCCACCTCAGGCTCTGCACCCAGTGGTGAAGCTTAGCTGAGCCCGGGGACCTGCAGACGGGAAAATGAGAGCAAAGATTTAGCTGGTAGCAGAAGGTTGACCCTCACCTTTAGAAGACACACCAAAGCCATGGCAAAGTCCTGCATAGACCCTGGGGCGGTTATTTATTGAGGACTGTGTCTAATATTTACTTGCAGGTTCTCACACTGGGATGCTCAGCTCAGCCATAACTCAAGGCAAGGATGGGCAGCACTGGGGAAGTTTATTGCTTCTGCAGAAAGGATACATCCATCAGAGCTAAAATGCCTCTGCATGAATCGAAGCTGAATCTTCCTCCCAGGCTGGTCATTTCATCTGTAAGGATTGACAAAACAGAGGAATTAGAGAGAGCAAGGAGAGTGGCAGAGGCATCAGCTCGCTATTTGAAGGGAAAGAGGACACCAATCTGAAGGCTCACGTAGCTAAAAAGCCCCAGATCTGGCTCAAACAGCAACCATGGCTTTGTGCCAGGCTGAGGTCCATGGAGGGAGCTGGACACGCCTCAGGTATCTCTACTGCTCCCTTCCCTAAGGACAAGTGCCCTCTTTGGGCTCACAGGAAGCAAACTGCACATTCTCTGCCCACCTTCCTGCCCTAATGGCAACCCCTCCCTCTTTAAATAAGGATAGGGAAAATGACAGTGACAAGAAAGGCCATTTATGCAGAATTAGCGACTCCTAAGAGCGCTTTGAACCTTGTGCGTGACTCAGTCAGTTTGAGCCCTGCAACTGTGCTTGTCTCATGCTATTTTCCAGGTGGACAGATTAGGAAGGCTGGGATATGCTGGAAGGCAGCTTGAGGCCCCTGCAGAGGAGCGATGCAGGCAGGGTCTGAACTGGGAGAAACTGGCTGACAGTGAGGAGAGTGGAAGGCACAGCTCCTGGGGCACTCACTGGTGCAGCCCAGCCAGGGAATGAGTTCCAGCTGCAATTGGTGGGGCACAGAGCAGGAAGGGACGCTCATGGAGACTGCAGGGACTTCCAGAAGGACAGCACGGGGTAGGATAGGTCTGCAAAGCAGAAGGAACCTTGGTGGAGGCAATTCTCATTCTTCAGGATCCAACAGTGCAGTAAGCCACACTGAGGACGTTTCAGGTGCATCAGGACACCACTAAATCCTCTATCTAATTTACACTAGACTAAGGATAGGGAAGCACCAAAGATATTAGCTGGGGTTTAAGAGCATCAGGATCACCTTGCAGGATCACTTCATTAAGGAGTTCTTGCAGCTGCGAGGCATCGATTTCTGAGCCCTAAAGTAGAATAAAATGCAAACAGAGGTCTGTGAGCATAGAGTCTTCCCCTGTGTCACTTTAGCCCAAAACTTCTTTACTCATGCACTGTGGGGACCAAGAAGGACCTCTGCTTATATCAGAGGAGCAGCAGCACCTTCTGAGGAGTATAACAGCTCTCCACACTGCTTGGCCACTCTTTGTCCTTCCTCACAAGAGTCTGCAGGGTAGTTACAGGCATTCCCATCACCACGGGGCAGTTTCAGCAGTGAGGGAAAGCGAACACTTGCTGATTTCATCAGCCCCTAGCTGGGGAGTTATCACAGAATCATAGAACAGTTTGGGTTGGAAGGGACCTTAAAGCTCGTCCAGTTCCAACCCCCTGCCATGGGAAGGGACACCTTCCACTAGAGCAGGTTGCTGATGGGCAGGCTCAGTGCACTGGGATGGGCAAGCAGACTGGGAGCTTCCCTCTGAGCTACCCATGGGGGAGCCTTTCTACCTCCCACCTGATACACGCCTGGGGCATTCAGCAAGGTGTTCGTTTTCACCTTCATGCATTGATTCTTGCATTAACTGCAAGAGGTCCTCTGAGCAAAGACTTTCAGCAGTAATTTTTTTTTTCCTCTTCACTAAGTCAAGGAGTTCTTTATAACTGTTTATTAAACCATTAAAAGCATCTCCTGTGAACACACAGAGTTTGGCTCTGAAACAGCAGGAATCAATTACTCAAACACTGTCTGATGTCTGCTTTCCAAATGCCGGGAAGGCAAATGGAAAACGATGCTGATGGGGGGGAAGGGGGGGATACCCAAGGCTTTCTAATTGCTTTCATTAAATAAACAAACCAAAGCCAAAGAAGTACACAGGCAAGCCCATCACCAGCACAACCACAAATCTCCACTGATAGATGGGGCTATCCAACCTATCCCAGCTGAATGTCTCATTTCTCTGGGGTTTTTGGCAGGCCAATCAATACTGTTTTCAAGGTATCTGCTTGAGGATGGAGCTATATTTCCCCCCAAAAACCACTTTTCTAAATGGATTTGTACCAACATCATAGATCAGCTATTCTTTTTCCAACTTCACATCCCTATTAATTTTTATTTTTCAGCAAGATGTTATAGGTAGGATACCTGCTTAGCATATCGTAGGAAGATAGCCTTATAGGAGCTGTCCTGGTTTTGTCTAGGTAGATCCTGGATTAAAGATAAAGTACACAGATGAATAGTTCAGTTCCAAACCATCTGGAGGCAGAAGTCTGCAGATCCAATCAGCATTTCAGAGAGGGCAGGGAATGCAAAGCACAGGCTGCAGTTTTAACACCCCAACAGTAAAGTGGACTGCGAATGAGGAACAGCTAGTGCAATGAAAGTTGCATAGTTTGGATGTTCTCACTCAGTACAACCAGGAAGGAGCAGCTCAGGGCCTGAGGAAGATAACAGAATACATCCAGGGTGGAATTCAGCAAGTCAAACATGGGAATAGATGTACAAAGCCTAATCCTTATTGATAGCCCCCAGTTGAAAGCACTAGCTTTTAGGCATGCAAAGATTCATGTGAACCAAGAAAAATAGAGCAGGAGTTGACATCTCTTTTCTCTTGTACCATCTCAACCCTAAGCAGGCTTGACTATCCCTTAGCAATTGCAATTCAATGATGAAGTGATTTTTTCCAGCCCTCTGGTGAGAATCCACCAGGCACTAAGGGGAACGATCCTTAACATTGTGAAGTTTCCCTCAAAAAACTAAGCCTAAGTCCCAATGCCTTCATCTCTGAGCAAGATAATTCACACCAGTGAAGCCCAAATACCTGAACAAGAGAAAAAAGTGCTGGTACCATAACTCATCAAAGTCAAAACACTGGCTAATGACAACAGCTGAGTAAACTGACAGCTTGTCAGTGAAAAGAGATAATAAGCCACCCATTTACACAACACATCTAATGGGGCTTAATTGCAGGCTGGAAAATGAATCACAAGGAAAGGTCTCTGTTTTCTGTTCTCCTCAAGCAGTTTTACACCTTTGGCTTCAAAGACCTGCACTGAGTTTGCACGGCTATAAATAACAGCCTCTCAGCAGCAGGGTTTGTAAGCAACTGATGAGGCAGCAGCATCTGGACTAGCTCTGGCAGTTTGCACAGTTCACTGTGACGAGGTCCAGATGGCAGCTGGGCTAGAGAGGCTGTAATGGGGGTTGAACTAGAGGTGTAACCACGTTTTAAGTGTAATTTCCCTTATATCCTTGAAGATATCCTGACGAAAATTAGAAATCTTCTTTGAGCCTCACCCCTATGGAGTCCTGCGCTTTATACGGTGCAAGCACTTAAATGAAGCTATTCATTTAGGCATATATGACCCTCTTGTGGTCTTATCTATGAGCTACCCCCTATGGGGAAGTCATGTATGACCCCGCTGCCAGGTGTGAAGTCTTTTTAAAAGAGGTCAGACTCAAGCTGTGACTTTCTCATCAGTTTCCCCCTCTCTCTTCCTTAGATATGTACTCATTTACAGCCATTGCAAGAGTTTACTATCTCTGAAGTGCTCTCCCCCTGCTATATTTGGTTGGTCAAAGTATTTAATGTGGCAAATGGAAAGGACAGATGGACAGGCTGACAGGGGGACTGTACAAGATTTGTTTCCTTAAGAAAAATCAAGCTCTGAAGGAGACATATGTGAAGAAGAGGGGCTTCCTTGTCACTCCTGTCTCTCCAGAGACCTCATGCTGGTCACCTGGTTGTAGAGTGCCAGACTTGAACTAACTCTTGGACAGGTACTGGGTGGTGAAAGGAGAAAAGAGCAGAGTGGTATCTGGTATATGGAGAAGGAAGAAGAGGAGTCAATAGAGGTGGCTACCAAATGATCAGCTCTCTGGGAACCATTCACCACCACCAGTATCCTCATCAGTTTCGATAGACTCTTACCATTGGCGGCACTGGGCTGGGTGGAGAGTCTGAGTTCCTGAAAAAGAGTTACAAGAGTCAAACTGGGAGAGAATGGGCCTTTTCAGAGCATCTCTTTGCAGATATGGCAGAAGTGGCCCTACAAGGTGCTCAGCACTCACACCACCAGGCTGGTCCCAGTTCAGTCAAGCCTGTTGCACCAGTCCTGGGTCTCTCTGTGCAAGCAGACATGAGTCTCTAGCTGCTGGGGAGCATGGCACCAGCAGCAGAGAATGGGTAACTTGTCTCACTTTGAGCATGCCAGGACTAATCTCACCACACAGAAGACAGGGATGCCCCACCTTGAGTCACATAAAACATTCACCCGTTTTCTCTTTGCCTAGTTTAAGAATCAGGAATAAAAATAGCATCTGGGCTATTAAAAGACAACATCTTTTTAAAAGGCAGCATCTTTTAAATGCCTGGAGGCTGCCTGAAATTCAGCTGAGGTCACCATTCCTTCCGAGACTTAGTAGCAATACTCAGAACTTGAGTTTTGCATTTGGCAGAGAAATTAGGCAAGAAGCTTGCTATTTCAATAACATCTGTGCTATCATATAGAAGAGCTGCAGACCCACAGAAATGGGGTCCTGATGCTTGGCCTAGCTCAGGAAGGTCTCTGAGGGTCAGAGGCTTTCCCAGAAAGAGAGCCTGAGACTGAGACATCTTGTGCATTACTCGTCATGCTGAAGGCAGTCCAGCCCAGAGCACAGGCGTCTTCTGTTTGTTTTCCATAACCAAGGAGTTGCCTTAGTTGGTTCTGGGCCAGGGGACAAAGCCTAGAGAGCAATCTCATTATTATGATATGGTAAGAGCTGCAATCACCTCTATTATAAAGCTTGCTAAAGGAAAGCCACTGTACATCTGATTCTTGAAGGTCATTTGGTAAGGCTGAACACCAGGGCTTGCTCTTCACACAAAGCACACCCTCCTATTTACGTGAAAACATGATAACAACTGCCTTTACATGAATTAAGTCACCATTTTCCCCACTAAACTTATCTTCAAGGCCCTTTTCATACCCACATGGAGCCCTGCCAGCCTGGCTATGAGATGGCTGGGTGAAAGGATCAGGGCCTTTCACTGCTGTTTGTTTCTCTAGATCCCACTTTGAGCAGTATGGGACCTGATCCATCAGGCAGCACAACATAAGAAACTACATAACAGTTGTTAAGAAAAACAAGCTCACATTCCTCCTTTCAGTAAGGAGAGATTTCCCCACAGCTGGAGGGGGATATCTCACAATCATAGCTTGCTTGTGTGGCTCTTTGTGCTAAAGCTGACACCCTTGGTGGCTGCCGATGAGCTATTGCCCTGTTCTGCAGTGACCACCCCTGAGCATCCGACTGTATGTCTGATCCCCCTCAACATGGTGCTTATCACTCAACTGAGTCTTCCCAACACACTTCTAAAGTACATTAAAAGTAAATTGCCACATTAGTTATCTTGACATTAAATTGTTAAATCCTGGCAGACTGTAAGTCTGGGGTCTTTAAGGAGTTCTTATTGTCTTACTCATTGTAGTCTTGATTCTTTGTGAAGATTCTTAAAAGGAATCCAAATTCTCGGTCCTCTGCTGCAGCAGGAACAACAGCGTATGTCCCTGGACTCAGGATAAAGTAGGTGGTCACGTCTCGAGTCAAGGCAAAAGTCTGTTTCAGAACTTTGGAGTTCTCCTGAAAGAAAAATGTAACTGGCCATCTCCCCTCTGTGTCAGCAACCAAAGTAAATCAGCAGCTTGCACCCACAGCAGCCTTACGTCCCCCCACAGCTCTCTAAATACACATCCATCTAACATGCCTTAATCTCCCCAGTGGTATGAAAAGCCCATCCAGGTGACACACTTTGTTCAAGGACACATCAAAAATGCAAAAGGGTGGAAGAACTGAAAGAAACAAAAGGCAAAATGAATGTAAGTGGATTTGAAGAGAACTTGGATTGACATTGAACAGGTTGGAGCTCATGAAGGACTCAAGAATGAATACTCTTACTAAAACTTCCCTGAGTTCTAGTGTGACTCAGAAAGCTCACAAAGCATCTCACCCAGATGACAATGCTTCAAGTATCACAACCCAAACCTTCCAGCAAGTGTCACACAAAACCAGAATATTCTGATCTTCTGTTATTCCAGTATTTTTGCTGAGATGAAACAAATATAATGCAGCAGCTATTACTATGATGACACGTTAAGATAGCATAATAAAAAACCCTTCCTAAACATATTCCCCAAAATACATCAGCGTGTATAAATTCCATTTAGAATGGTTATACAGCGTGGCAGAGTTATTTATGAGCCATGCCTTTGGGAGACAATAACATAAAACTGTTATTTTGGAAGAAAAAAACCACATAAAAAGATGACTACTGTTAGAGACGCTGGGAGGCATGCAGACAGCCAAGTATTATGGGTCGGACCTGGAACAGATAGGAACGGGCACTGCTGCAAAGAAATAAATGGTGTAATCCATTTCTTACTTTTGGGTCTCATTGCACAATCCTTCTGGTAAAAAGCAGCAGCAGATTAATATCTCAACGGAGTCAAAACTGGTGTGAGATAAGAATCAGGCTCTATACATTGCTCAGATCTATCACACAACATTAATCTTCCCTCACAGCCATGTATTAGCGTCCCGCATCCATATTTAATCAAAGGCTTCCCAGAGCTATCAGATATGCCCATTCTGGTTTGCATCCTTGCCCACACTGCATTCCCCTCTCATGGTGCCCAGAGATAACACTCTTTTTACTTCACAGCAACAATCTCTAAAGGTACTGAGCAATGAATAATGCTGCTAATGAATAATGGCAGTGAAAGCGGTTCAGGGAGGAAGAGTGAAGCCACATGAACCTTAGCAATTGCACTCTCCATATGCAAAGAAAACCCCTTGTAAACTTTTATGCAGTGATGACCCCTCTGACTGCTCTCGGGCACTAAGGCTAGGTATTGGGAAACAGGCTGAGAGAACAGCACTGTAAACCTACCCTGGTTTTAGCTCCTGGATTTGGCTTTTGCTTCCACCAGGGCAGGATGCTAGGCTGGCTGTGAGGAGCTGGCACACTGTTAAAATACTTAGGCATGATATATGGGGGAATAGTTTCTGTATAATCTGCTGTGTGGATTTGTAATAATACGGTACCATTACATTACTAAAAGCTATGGCATGACAGAGCAGCGCGTCTGTCCACTTTCCCTCACTGACCAGGTGTTCCACAGTAATCCTGGTGTCTCTAGCAATGGTCTGTTCTGGCCATGCCCTCCAGGTCCTGTGTAGGAGACCACCTAGGGTTAGAAGCCCAGACTGAGCCTGAGGTGAGCTATGGACACAGAGGTCATGTCAACCAGACCTGACATCAAATTCCATGTCTTCGGGAACATACCAAGAGAGAAAAACTAAATGACCACACCTGAGCATCAACTGGAGGGGAAGAAAGGCATTTTAAATATGAAGAAAGAATAGACAAACTCTGCCCAAAGTCTACTTCCTGATTAAACAAACCCTTTACAAGGGACCCAAGACCTCTCAGTGAGGGTCATTTCTGTTCAAATGGGTAACTAGTCAAGGTGGACACACATCATGCAAGAGCATGCAGGGACCTCATTTACTTGCAACTGCTGGGGCAGAGCTAAGGATGACGCTGGAAGAAAAGTGTTCCCCATTTACCAGGAGCAGGAGCTCTTTCCAAGTGGCACCGTGAGCTCCGTGGAGCCCTGCAGGCCTGATATCTGCTCCAGGCATTGGATCTCCCTGCACAGTATGGATAGTCAGTTCCACTTGCTGGAGGACTGCTCTTTTTGTAACAATTTGTGTTTCTCAGACACTGTTTTCGATGAGCTACAAAGCCGTGCTCTTCCTTTATGCTGTGAGACTTATGGCATCTATTATTCAAAGTCTGCGACTAGGGAAAACCTCTCCAGTGATCAGAAGAATATGAAGTCAGGGTCATAGCAATCTCTGCTTCCTTTTATTCTTTAGGCTAAGAACAACTCCCTCCCACACTCCTCAGCCAACAACAAAAATGCTTTGGAAAAGGCTGTCATCAATCTGCACTAGCAGTTGCATTTTCAGTATGGCTGGTGATGCTCTGACAACTGCCCTTGGAATGACACCTCCCTGGATAGTCAGGAAAAAGCCTCAAGGATATTGTAGTGAAGGTCCCAGGTATCCACGTGGATTACCTCCACACTGGTCTTGAGCAAAGCCTATTTTGTAGATGGGTTTTGCATGGTTTTTCTGTCATAAGAAAGGAGGAGTTGAGTAAAACAGGCCCATTTTGGGGAACAAGAAGACATTTGCTTCCCTATTAGACCTGGAGTATTGATCACATTCTGTGGTCAGTGCTGGCTGCCATGCTTTGTGCTGGGACAGCAATGCATGTCAGCAGTACTGCTGGGCTCAGAGAACATTGCCCTGGCATGTCTTGTACCTACTGACTAGTACCCTAGTGCCTAGGGAACCTAGGGACTCCCTGATTTCCCCAGAGCTATTCTGGGATGCTACAGAACTAAATGTTCAACCTTTCGTCTCTTAACACACAAATAAAGAAAACTAAGCCTTCCTTACTCTACTTTTCCTGTGATGTTCTATGATAGAAGGCATCCAGAAATGTATTGCAAATAATGTCTGCTCTCTTTTTGAGGCTTGAAAGGCAATTCAGTCTTTCATTTCCCTGTACAGGTATAATAAACCACACAGAAAACAAGGGCATGTAGGGACAGGACAAGGAGGAATGGCTTTAAACTGACAGAAGGGAGATTTAGATAGACATTAGGAAGAAATTCTTCCCTGTGAGAGCACTGAGGTGTTGGCATAGATTGCCCAGAGAAGCTGTGGCTGCCCCATCCCTGGCAGTGTTCAAGGCCAGGTTGGACACAGGGGCTTGGAGCAACCTGCTCTAGTGGAAGGTGTCCCTGCCTGTGGCAGGGGTTGGAACTGGATGAGCTTTAAGGTCCCTTCCAACCCAAACCATTCTGTGTGATTCTATGATACCTGATTGTGCTTACCATGGTGATAAAAAAGCCAATTTTCAGGTTTTTTGCATCCTGCGCATTCTCAGTATGTTTTTGCATGAGTGAAATTACCACGTTGTAAGTTTTTGGTTCATAATCCATCACTTTGAAAAAATACTGAGGGTTCGTTGAAAGTGCACCTGCTGGGAAAGTGTTAATAGATTAATAGCAGGCACATAAGATGTCCCATTAGTAGCCTATTGTATAAGATCTTGCTATGAACCCAGAGGAACAGGTTGTTACTGCTCCAAGATCCTTTGAGAGAACTGTAATCTCTCCATTACCAGGAGCTGAGGCATCTGGAGTTGAATTAATTGCACATTAATCATTCTAGAAATCTCTGGCAAAGCCATAAAAGTCACGCAGATTTCTCACCCCATTACATCTGCTTCACCTGCATGGCACACTTTCCCTGAGGCACAAACACAGTGATTCTTAATCGGCTGCCTAACCCAGTGGCTGAACTGAAAAGGGCTGTGGCTTGAAGAGCATTATCAGTAAAAGAAAAAGACAAAATGGTCCAAAGGTACCCTTCCCTTCCTTCCTGTTAGTGTTGAGCACAGAGAGAATAGGCTTTTTTTGGACAGGGAGCATTCCTGATAAGAAAGCAGGAAAATGTCCAAAATGAGGGAAAAAAGAAGCGAGATGGCAGCATCTGCTTAAACCAGTCTAGGCTTTAAGCCATGTAGCTGTGTTGCATGGCCTTGGAAGCTGAAATTTAGCCCACTTGTTTGGACAGGAACTTTAGTATACAGCTGGTGGAAAACACAGCTCCAAGGAAAATAGTTCTGCCTGCATGCTCTCTCAACTTCAGCCCCTGCACCTCCTTGCTGAGTCCCAGTGCCTATGGTGTGCAGCAGCACAGACATTGTTTTGTTATCACCCCTTGAGACATAGTGATCAAGGATACAAGGAGGAGGCTGAAACCTATAAGCCAAATCAGAACTTGCATTGCCAGAAGAGTCCTTGGCCAGGCAGTAGAATCAGAAGTCTTATCTGCTCAAAGGCTTTCTACCCTTGAAAACAGAGCTTTGTATCACAATTCTTTCATATCTATTTAATTTCAGAGTATTTCTTGCTCTGCAAAAGCAGCTTTGCCAGACCAAACTTTCAGGTGACATCCCCAGTAACAGCTATTGCAACCGGCTGAAAGACGACAAGCACATTTTGATGTAAAGAGTTCAGGGCTTCTAAATCACAATTCTCCTGTTTTAACTCAGCAGCCGGTGCCACTGCTTTGTTTCTGCCTCTTTAGCTGATAGGTGCTGTAATGGGAAAGGGCAGGCATTAGCAACTGGCAATCAATATTGCTGCAATTCAGTGCTTGAAGTGCATGTTTTAGTGTAAGCACCAGTGGAGAGGAGGAGAGCACTGGGTAACTGCAATGAGTGTTCATTACCTGAGGAATAGTTACTCCTGCCAGTGGCAAGGGCTGGTCTCCACAGGTTGATGTGCCTCTCCACAGACCACGCTGTGCAGTGCTGATATCCAAAGTCCAGAAACGTTGGAGTGCTGTTACATATATACAGCCAGGAAAACTGCTCCTGGAAGCTTTCACAGGACATCCTGCAGAGAAGGACTGAAATTTCACCTTTCAGTTTGAGACATCGGTCAGGCATTCATGTTTACCCTCTACATCTTTAGGAGAGGATTACAGAGCGCTACAGGCTATAGCTGAGCTCACTGATACTTCACAAGTCAGCTCTCAATGCCTTTAACTGCACCTGAAGCCCCAGGGAAATTACAGGGCATGTTCAGTAGTACCTACATGGAGCCCTGCTATCTCCAGCACATCCCTGCCACTGCACTTTGCTTTGTCCCTCCGGTGTCCTGCCCTGCGCTCATGCTTTGCTCAAGCATCCAGTGTCTATCTCAGACCAGCCAACTGTTCCCCTGCTTTCCTCAGAGCCTCACAGAGCAAGTGTGCACTTTCTGAATAATAACAGCTCTTCTAAAGGATGATAACTGGATCTGAGAGTATTTGAGGCAGTGAAAAACCACAAGCAGCCAAGTGCACACACCCTAAGGTTCATAGAATCACAGAGGGGTTTGGGTTAGAAGGGACTTTAAAGCTCATCCACTTCCAACCCCCTGCCACAGGCAGGGACACCTTCCACTAGAGCAGGTTGCTCCAAGCCCCTGTGTCCAACCTGGCCTTGAACACTGCCAGGGATGGGGCAGCTACAGCTTCTCTGGGCACCCTGTGCCAGTGCCTCAGCACCCTCACAGGGAAGAATTTCTTCCTAATGTCTCATCTGAATCTCCCCTCTGTCAGTTTAAAGCCATTCCCCCTTGTTCTGTCACTACAGGCCCTTATAAAAGGCCCCTCTCCAGGTTTCTTGTAGCCCCTTTAGGTATTGGAAGAGTGTTATAAGGTCTTCCCTGAGTCCTCTTCTGCAGGCTCAACACCCTTAGCTCTCTCAGACTGCCTTCAGAGGAGAGATGCTCCAATCCTCTGATCATCTTTGTGGTCTCCTGTGGACTCAACTCGAGCAGTTCCATGTCCCTCTTGTGCTGTTGCCCCCAGAGCTGAGTACAGCTCAAGCTTGGTGTTTTATGGGGAAGGACAATGTGACAAAATGACCAAGTCTCAGCAAGCTGCATTTTTACTTCTCTCACTTTTCCTATTTTTTTATCTTTCCCACCAGCTTGGTGCTTAATCCTGGCCAGCTCCATTTCTCCAGGTCTTGTTTCCTCTGAAACCATAAGGTCAGGATAACTGCCTAAATGTCTCTTCTTTCATAGTGAATGCAAACAGAAAACCTGGTAGAGAGAAGGAGCAATAAGGACATACCAAAACTCTCCATCATCCTTGTTTCTGAGGAGGGCTTCTCTGTCTTTTGACTCCACATGGTCCCACTGAGGAGAGCTGTGAACAGGAAAAAAATCAACAAGCAGATGTGAGGCACAACTCTCCATCTCTCTGGCCAGCCCGTTCCTCTAACCAGCCCCTCAAGTCACGAGGGATGAGGAGGGGTGAGCAAACTGCGCATCACAAATGGGACTGCACTTGATACCTTCATACCCAAAGCCAGCAAACAGCTCTGCACCTCTGCGGTGCTTGAGTTGCCTGCCCTAGGATGAGGAACCCTGACTCTGCCTTCCAAGCCCCAGTCACCTATCCATATGCTGGAAGTAGGTATCAAGGCAAAGTGCTGTGAAGTGCTGATATTACATTGACGCGTAGAAGGCACATTAGCCAGTCAAATGAGTTGTTTCCAAGCAGCATGTTTATAATTAAGAGATAATTGTACTTTCTGCTGAGTTTAAGATAAATAAAAAAAGCACGAATCAATAATTTATTGATTTATGCAGTTTACCTGTGAACGTGCTTTGCTGACATTTCAATTACTGTTAGGATTACAGCTCACCCTTCCAAAGAATGGGAGGATTCTGTCTGAGCATAGCTATTATCCCAGCCCTAAACATGTCTGCACCACCCGCACCCCATCCAGACACAACACGCTAGCCTGACTCTTCTCAGCAGAGAAAACTGATCCTAGCAACAGGGAGAAGCAGGATGCTATTAAATCACATGAGAGTGACACATGAACATCTCTCTAGTCAGACAACCACTGATGCAATTCCACCAGGAAAACTAATATCTAATATTTGCAATAACCAATAACCCTTTTCCCCTCTGTGTGTTCAATACTGCATAAAAATACTGCCCTACTCTCATTGACTCTTCTAACCATCCTTTCCCACATTCAGACTCATAGGAAGGGGAAGAAGGGGCAAGAAGGAAGATGCATGATTGCTGCAGTAGAATTCAATAGAAGCAGCCAGACAGTGCCTAAGGAAGTGGCCAGAGCTTACTCCAGGTAATAACAACTCTCATCCATGACTTACCTGGATTTATCCACTGGGAAAAATGTACACATAGACAAAAAGGGATACCTGAGCTAGGCCTAGTGATGAGCACATAAAATCAATGCTGCATTAGTTTTTCCCACATTGGATTTCTGTGGGCAGTCGCTTAGCAGATGGAAAGAACACTTACAATGAACTGATTTAGAAATGTCCTTTTCATTACAATGGGTGAAATGCAGAGGTCTTCTAAAATAAGCCTATAAAAAGTCACCCTTCTTATGAGATTAAAACTTTAAGACCATACCTATCACTCCAAGCCCCCTTCCACTCCCCATAGCCCCATGGATTCCAGATCCTGATGATATGTATCCAGCTATTCTTGTAGCGTATCTATAAAGAAAGAAAAATAAACTCAGTCGCAGCTTTTCACAGTTGTGATATTCAGTGATGAGGTGGATAATGAAAAGGATCTTCTTCCATACCTGAGACCTGGTTTGACTTCTGATCTCATTTGACTGCAGTTAAAAATCAGTGCCTTTTGCTACAGCATAAAGGAATGACATGTGGGAGAAAACTGCACCCAATTTGCTTTCCTGAAGACAGCTGACACACAGGGAAGCGGCAGCATTCCTGCCACGCTGCATGACTTCAGCGGCCTTGGGAAATTCCAGTGCCTAATTCTGCACATCTAATGCTGTGAGTCAGCAAAGGCAGAAACTTTGGGGAATGAGATCACCAGACTGCCTGGAGTGAATGTCAACAGTGAGCATGAAGAGATGATGATAAACAGAATCTGCGGCTCTATATCTACAGCACTGTGGCTTCCAACAGCTGCGGTTCCAGTGCTTTTCTCGTCTTGCTGTTACTGGTTTAAACCAGAAGCAACTCACTTTCACCAGTCAAAGTGGAAAGGAGAAGCAAACCTTTTGTTTCCAACTCTCCTTATGCACACAGACAGTGTTGGAAACAAATGCCATGGCAGTCTCTTCCCAAGAAAAGGTCTAGCCCGTGGCCAGCCTCAAGTCATCCTACACAGGACACTCCCATGGATGCCTTGGCAAAGGGCAAAGACTGTTTCTCCTCTCTGCATGCATCATGAGCAGCACCATGCTGAAACAGCCTGCTTCCTCTCCAATAGCATTCAGGATCCTTCCACCCCTGTGTTGGGGAGAACCAGCTGGGGCTTTCTCTGTAGCCCAGCAACCCTCATCCTTCCATTTTGGAGCCTCTTGGCTACAAGTCCTCCAACAAGAAGCACGCTGACTGATGACGGCACACAGCATGCCATGGCATGCGGGGCTATGAACCAAAACCAAGCTTATACAGAAAATCATGGGAAGAAGGGAGAAAATAACTTAGGTAAAACAAAGTCCCCTTTCCAAAGTACTTTAAGTTCTGAAATCAAAATGTGTTTTAGATATCTTGCTTGAGAGCATAGCCACTGTTTGGTTTCCTTCTTGGCCATGCTCACTGTTAACTCTCCCGGTGTGCACTACAGCTTAATGGGGTAGGCCATGTTCTGACTTCTGGCTGTAAAAAGATCTCTCATTTCTTTTGATCTGTGTGATAAATGGGTCCTGTTTTCAGATCAGCAATATTTATACCCAGCCAGGAGAAGTTCTGCATGAGTAAAACAGCTTTAAAAGATGGAGAAATGCTGTTCCTGAACCAGTGAGTTATTTACTTTCCACACAGTGATTTTTGGCAGCGTGTGATTGAGCTGAACAAACGTAGATCTGCATTATATGACAAATTCCACAGTTTCAGCCAGTGATTCTATTCCCATTTGAAAAGGAAAAGTGAATTTTTTAGGAGTCAGCATGGAATGCAAATCCCCGGAAATGCTGTATTTGCTGATGAAGTGTCCTAAACCAAAAGTGAATTAAAGTTGCGTTAGGAAAAATAGATTTTCTCCCTATTCCTATTGAGCCAGAATCCTTCCATCTACTGGAATCTGAGATATGTGCTTTCAACGACCCCTCCTCAGTGTGAAGCTAATTAAAATTGCTCTGAACAGAGCAGCAATGTGTAGATCACCAATAGGAGAACAAGTACTTGATCTTACCTTCTCAGCTCCAGTGACAGTGTAGGCATGACCCTGTACAATCCCGTTCTTCAGTTCTATATTCCTCATCAGCTGCAGAAGGGAGAAAGCACAGCTTTTAGCTCTCTGCCACGCTGTGGATGTATGGCCATCAACTCCCACAACTGTCACTTGGCATGGCAGAAAAACACAAGACTTACTTTTGACTAAAGCATCATCTCAGATACTCTGGCTCCAGAGGAACACGACTGTTGTTCCCACTGCAGCCATAAGCAGCTCAGTAAACTTAACAACACTACAGGTCCTCACATATTTCCAAGTTCTTCAATGGACCTGCAGAATAACCTGGATTGGGTCCCTGTCAGGATTTCTCTGCCACCCATAGCCCAGTATCAGCCACCTGTGCTGAGGGGCTAATCCTTGGCTTGTTTGGAAGACAAGCTTCACGTCCCGATGAAGCAGGCAGGCACTACATGCGCCATATATCACACTTTGCAGTCTTCCCTTACACGCTGTAAAGGGAAGCCCTGGCAACCTTTTAGCAAGACACTTGCTGAGCATCACAAAACTTTTTGCAGCTTCCCAGCAGTAACACCTGTAGCCTGCAAATCACAAGGCAATAACAGCATCCTCTCACAGAAGAGAGCTGCATTTTGGCTTTGCTAGAACCAGTCACAAAGCTAGGAGGTCAAAATCAGTCCTGCTGCAAGAAGATCACTGTATTGCAGTGGAATTAGCCAGAAGAGAAGCCACAGACCCCACTCTGACAGAGCAATCTACCAAATTGCATCTACCAAATTCCAAATCTACCAAACACATCTACCAAAAGCCTTTATATTCTTTACTACATAACCATGCCAAGATCTCTTCAGGCATCCATAGACTGTAACTATTGCACAGAGTGATTCTGGACTTCCTTTTTCAGTAAAAGGAGCAGCCTTTATGTACACATAGTAAGCCAGGAAATGAATGCTACTGGCCCTTTGACTCACCTGGCCTGAGGTGCTACACCCCATCAGACAATGAGATTTGTCAGCTGCCTTCAGTATCTCATGCAGATCAGGAGGAGGATCCTTCAAGGAAAACTGTACTTGGACTCCACCTGTGAAGTCTACTAATGCATCAGAAGGGTAGCCTCCATGCAAGTGCTGGTAGGAACCCTGCAACCTGAAACAAACCAGACCACAAGAAGTTAGTCCTCACACTCTGTTTTAATATACGGTGCACAGTGATGACTTCCAAAATGGACATGCACATCAAGGTGGTGAGCATGGGTCATGTAGACACTGGGACCAGTTAATGAAAGGAAACATGATTGAAATACACAGCCAGGCACAACACACACTGTGGAATTAATGAGGGACTTTTTCCTATGCATTCACCCACATGTGACACGGCTGTCTGGAGCTGTTTACAGACAGAGGAAAATAGTAAGGTGCATCTCATACCAATGCAGACATTTTAGGGATATGAGCTGCATCGCATCATGAAATACCCAGTTTCCTTCTTCTGAACAAGAAGGGAGCCACGGGTTGAATAGTTCAGATGGATGTTTCAGATCAAAGAGAGCCGAACTGTTAGTTTCTATGTCATATTTTGTCATGTTTCTTCAAAAATGGCCAGTATCCCTTTGCAAATGCAAAATAGGAAAAAGAGAGAGGTGAAGGTATTTGCCCATGCTCCCAAGGCAAGACATAACTGAGGTTTCAGCACTCTTCTGAATTCACTCTGCTAGAGTGCAATAATAGGATAATAATTTAATATTGCCACCACAGTCCTTGTTGTTTTTATCGTGTGCTTTTTATTGAGACAGCAAATAAGCTGGAACATGCCGTACTTAGAGCAGGTAGAGCATGCTGTTAAACCCCACCATACACACTGTATTTAATGAACGTAATCAAATGAAGTCTGCAGCTAATTGTATTTTGAAGGGTTGTCCTTGTCCTACACTGATGAAAAGAATTTGTCATGGGCACCGGGGAATAACTTCTCAAATGGGAATCTCATAAACAGCATCGCTTGCAACTTTAATTTAATAGAGGTTTGGTTTGCTTTGTAATTAAAATCTTAGGCAGGAAATTGATATTGAATCCTGAGTCAACTTTTCTGAGATAACTCTGGGCAAAATGTATCCTATTCCGGAGACACCCAGATGCTGCTTTGACACTTGCTTATTCCTGACCAAATCTGCCAAAACAATTAGCTCACTTCCTCAGCTCCTCTTTACTGCATTGCAAATGTTACACCAGCCTGAACTGGGGTAAGGTGTACCAAGGGGTTCTAGCCCTTTATACTACCCCTAGTACATGAATGTCTCTTCAGCATGTTTAATAATGGGCAATGTTACAGGTGCTAAGGGACCACACTCTGATTTCTTTACACCTCAGAGGATTTAAAAGGTGATTATCTCCTTATTATCATCTTTAACCCTGCAGTACTTTGGGGACCTCAACCAAGAGTCAGCATGCTCTGTGTGAAATGAGAGCTCACCAGACACTCACTGGAGCGCATGTGTTGTGCCTGGACATGTTCTTCAGATATGCATCCTCTCATTCCCTGCTCCAAATGTCTGCATGATCTCTGATTAGTCACTCTAAACAGAGGCAATTCCAGCTTAGAGTTCACAGTTTTGAACAGAGGAAAATACAGAAAGGAAAACAGGCAAAGCCTGCTTGAAGGAGGAGATGCCCAGCCCCTTTTGTGTCACCAGCCATTGCCCGGTTCATTTTACTTCCCAGGCATTAGCATCCCAGAGTTGGACTGGGTGTATTCAGGTCTTTAGCCTGGGACCAACATCTCCAGGTTATGTTGGCTCTGTGTACACGTGCATCCACAGTTCCTTGCATAAGCACAGCACAACAATCACAGCTGCTAGCCTGAACACTTCCCTGTATGCTTTGTGCAAAGCAAAGGGTGAAACCACATGTAGAGAGCATTCAGCACTGGGCAGAAGAATAGACCAGGTATGTTTACTTGGCGTATGCTTTTTCCAGCAAGGATGGCCAGAATTCATTTGACGTTCGAGGGTGTACAGACAGGTATCTTCCATTTAGGAATGGCAGCCGGTCATCTATCACTACATCCACCCAGTCTCCATATTGCCAGAACTGGAAATTAAGAAAAGAAAGAGTACGAATGAGCCCCTTTCAAGAGCTAACACTCATGCCAAGCAACAGCCTCCTGAAATAGCACAGGAATTAATCTAAAACATGGATATTTGCAAGTTCTCTCCTGAAATGCTTCAGGCTAATTGTTAAACAAGCTCCCAAGTGGCTGGATTTCCCAGTGGCAAGGGAAGTCATTTGGGAATATAAATAGTCCTGTAAATGGTGGGAGGAAATATTAAACAGGGGAAATATGCAAATATTCTTGGGCAATAGGAAGCATTCAAGACGATAAAGAACAATCATGCAGATGGTTCAGTGAGCCTTATTCCTTAGCTGCACTTGAATTTTCCCCTGCAGCACAGCACTTGGCTGAAGAGCCTCTGTCAAGATCCAGTCTCTAGTGTTTCTTCCCTCTGTGCTTCAGCTAAGACTCTGAGGTACTGTCATGGACAGGGACTGTGTACTAAGGACTGTTTCGAGATGTTATCCATCTCCTTGATGGATGAGGAGGATGCAGGTGGTCTCTCAAGCATGTGGACAGGGCAGGTGTTTCTCCAGCTGATCCAGCTGATGAAACCTTTCAAGGGAGAAGATAGGGAAGAAGATGTTTTGGGATGAACTGAAGGAGCCATTTCTAAAGTCATTAGCAGATTAATGTAGCTTAGCATGATTTGCAATCATAAGAGGCCAAGCTCTTATTTGCAGTAATGCTAAGGACTCCAGTGGAAATGTGCCAGCAATAGATTTAGTCCAACATGATTTTATTTTAACAGCTTTGGTCAATGAAAAACCTCAAAAGGAGCTGTTCTGTTAGAAAAGCACAAGACCAGACGTGCCCAGCAGCAAAGCAGTTTATAGTCTGCTAAGCAAAAAGCAGTTGATCCTACTCACATCCTGCCTCACCCCAGCCTCTCACTTCCTACATTAGTTGTGGCAGGAGGTGGCACAGTTGGACTTCTGAACTTGAGCTCCAGCTGTAATTGGAGGGTTCTGCTTGGTTTTGGCAGGATAGGGTTTGAGGAAGAGCCTGCCACCACCTGTCCTTGGCCCAAAAGAGAGACAGACGAAGGGACAGTCCAAAAGGAGCTGCCCTATCATCATCCAGCATACTGTCACCAGTCAACAGGTCTGTATGGAGAAAAGGTGTGACATCCCACCACACTTCCTTATGGTGCTCCATGTGCAAGCACAACAGGTGAAAAAAGAAAACAATATGGAACTGCCCATGGGGATTAATGCAGTCCAAAGCCACTGAGTGATGTTTTTTAAACTCCAGGTTCTTTGGCTATCTTTGGTAGGGAAATGAAACTTGGAGGCCTCCTGAAAACAGCACTATATTTTTCTTCCCTGAATAAAGAGAGCTGCTTTGCCCTGACTGCTGCAGACTTTCAGATAGTGCCTCATCTGAGCTCACAAAAACACGGAAAGCCGCAATGGGAATGAAAAACCTCATGGAAAATCCTAGGATGCTCTGGGAGTGCAAGAATGGTAGAGGAGAAGCCATTGTCCTGCATATGACTTCAGAGAGGTCCAATGCTTTCAGTTTGAGGCTTAAGAGTCTGGCTTCATAGAGTTCCTTTATACCCTCAGGATATAAAGTACTGCAGCTAGGAATATGACAGTAAATGAAACAAAGAATTCCTGTGTAGGCAGGCTGCAAAGAGGGAAGTTCTTCCCTTCCACATTTGTGGGGAGCCTTTTAAATCAGGACTTCATTTTCCTGGGCTTAGAAGAGAAGGAAAAACAAAGGGAGAGTTGCAAGATGGCAATACGGTGTTATTACTTCACCCCATTGTTTTCTTCCTTTGCCAGGATTTTGGATAAATCCAGTCCTGGAACTGAGCAAGGTGAAAACCCCAACTGTTTCAACCGCTCTTTTGCATGGTGTTAGAAGGCACATTTTGGATGTGTCCTGAAACAGAGATCTTGACCACTTCTGTCCTTTAAAGATTTCATTAGGAACATTAGCACTCAGGGCAGGTCCCTGCTGTTTTGAGATGATGCACTGTGCCATACATAGTCCCTACAGCATACTTTGGTTTCTAACCAGGCGGAACTGGTGCTGCTCCCTGTCACAACATGTGGCACACCTTGCCTCACAGGCATCAGAGCTTCTGTGGCAGAGAAAGTGATTCCTATACAAACACAGGACTAACTTTATCCCTGGTGATATAGCATCAGTGTAATTATTCCCTAGATAAAAACATCACTCATCTCTACTACAGCTGATGAAGTGCTTAACACCTTTAACTCTTGCAGCTGAACAGCCAGTGTTGTGTAGGAAGACGGAAGAAGCCCGAGAGGCAACATGCTCCAGATCCAAAAAGGTGAACAGTTATAAGCTCAAATTATTATATTAGCATATGATATGGCTCATCTGTGATTCCTCACTGAGCAGAGGACTGGTGGCTTAGCCTGTGGATGGCAGTAAAATATCTTTGATGGAATAATTGAAAGTATTGCCGAGAAGCATTTCCATTCAGAGTAGCTTTCTCAGGGGTTTATTGCTCAAGAAAAGCCAGAAAGAGTTGCATTGATTTGCAGATGAGATGACAGTGAAAACATTTCCAAATACTGTAAGGTATTTATACTGCTTAAGATTTAAGGATTGCTCCTAACTAATCTTTTCAAAGCTCTCATGAAAGAAAATCTAGCTTGCATCCTTTTAATGTGTTTGAAGCAGACTGTTGTCCCTTTAGTGGGTTTATCTCATACAGTGCACCTCTGCATGCTGGAAATAGGCCAATACATAAACATCTGGTATACCAAGGAGCAAAGGAACTCAGGCTGCCTGCAAGATAATCCTCCTGGTGCTGCTCCATGGGAGGTCTCAGGAGTCAGAGAAGTCTCAGTGCCAGAACTCTTTGGTACTGAACTACATGTAACACAACAACTTGTGAAAAAAGGGGGATGGTGAATGGTTGAGTATCTACTCATTGTCTCCATCCAGTTTAGCTTCTGGAACTTCATGGTCCTGCGGGTGTTTCTAACCCCACAGATATTTGGTCCACTCAGATACAAGAAAGCAAAGCCTGCCAGTGACTACCCTGTCACCTCCCTGGGACAGTCAGAGAATTTCAAGAGTGCTTCTCTCTCTGAAATAAAACTCCTTTCAAAATGTCAAAAGCCTCCTCCTCTGGCTTGTCTCCAAGGATTTGTAATTTCAAGCCATTTTCGTGAGCTAAAAGGGCAAGGAAATATATGGGGAAACAGAAAATGAATCCAAATAGGTGAACAACACAGGTGTGGTGACAGCTACAACAAACTGTCCAAATCACAGCAGACACTAGAATGCCATCTAAAACATACAGGTACACAAATGTATCTGAACAGCTGGTATCAGTATCTCTGGAGTCATAACTTTCAGAAAAGGTTTTCCAGTTCTCTGCCATGTAATTGCACCACCTGGAGCACAAGGAATCACTGGAAAATTTGGGATTGTCTGCAAATATCTGACCTGGGAGTCAGCACTGAAGAACCGCAGCATTCAAAGCTGTCAAGATCTGGGACTGCTGCTTGGATCCCTGTATAATCCAACCAGCCAAGCCCAAGCAGTACCAATACAGCAGAGAATACATACCCGGAAATGAAAAATCCCAGCATAATCGTTCTGGAATCCTTGATCCCTTGGTAAAACGTTTCCCAGAAACTGCTTCTGCAGTGTCAGGGAGCCCAGGGCAGCCAGCATCCAGCAGTCACCTCAAGGGAGATAAGAATGCACTGCGTTCAGTCAGTTACCACTGTGGACCATAACTAACTCTTTGGGAGGGTGCCCTTCAACATCTGAGACATCCAAAAGCTGGTTTGTTAAAAGAAACCAACGTTCTTGCATCTCCTTTCCAGCCCCCAAAGCACTGAATGCAGTATTCGCCCACAATGTCCCTGATGCCACCCAGCCATTCTCTTCTACTTTCATTCTCCTATCTTTTGTGGTCATGTGGAGGTCTGCAATCTAGAATACTGTTTAGGAAATCTTCAAATCTCTCAGTGGGGTGAAAAATGGAAGGACATTTCTGTATGGGAGCAGAGCTGCTCCCAAAGACAAACGTGGTTATGGGCCGGGAGAAAAGGATGGAACCGATAGGGGTGCAGGCACGTGTTGGAGCTGTGCCTACTTATCCCAGAACTATGACCCTTGTACTTGAAGCATCTGCCCAATCTCAGTTGCACCTTGTCCTTATATACATAGAGGGTAAGTGTCATAAATAAGTAACAGGGATTAGAGCTGATGGATTTGGGAATCCTGTTAAGTATCTGCAATGAATTGTGTGTGGACTTGTGTGAGTCTGGATTGACCTGCGATAATTGTTTCCTGCAGCTACCACGGTCTTCCCACCAAGCGCTCAGAACATAGCAAAACAATCACAGGTTGTTGCTTTGTGCCAGTCTTTTCCGAAACAGGAATATGACCTTACCTATTTCTCCTTGCATGATATCAAATCTGCTAACTCCATCTATGATCAAATGAGGATGTCTCTGCAGCTCCTGGAGGAAGGAAAATGCAAAGAGCAGCATGAGTACCCTCCTGTGCCAGCAGTGTGTTACTGCCCCTTGGAGTCCCTTGCTTGCTTACCTTTTCCACATCTGTTCCTCTTGAACCCTGATGTTTTTTGCCTGTCACCAACAGAACCAGAAGAGATACTCAGGCATCTCTTCTTCCGTCTGCTCAGCTAATCCTAGGGATGGGGGCTTGTAGCTGGGTGTGTGCTGAGCTTTCATTTGGGTTTCTCTGATGCTAACAGCACCTTTCAAAGAGGGCTCTAAGCCTGGCTATAAAATCATGCTCTTTCCTGAGGGAGAGAGGGGCTCCCTGTGTGGAAACAGAGGTTTGCAAGCAGTGCAGAGCAGGATCTGTACTTCAGCTCAGCAGTGGGTCTAGGAATGTTTTATTCTCTGAGCCTTTTTTGTTTCTATGCAGGACTAACAGAGATCAGCTGGGGCTGCTCTTCATCACTGGTGAGGAAGCTATAGAAAAAGAGCCTAACCTCTGGCTGCAAAATCCCATAGGCCTGGCTGACATTTTTAGTTCTGGGAGAATTTTCCTTGCATTCCTTAAGTCTGGCTTGGGCAGTGAAGGGGAAACACTCCAGAGCCTGGTTAGCACACAGAAATATGAACTCTTCTCCCTCCCATCTGTGTCTGCTATTGGTCTGGGATATCTGACTGCTCAGGTAGGAATGGCCCAAGCATCTCCTGTGATACCCTTGGCACACCCCAACTGGGTAAAGCTGTTTTGGAAGAGCTATCAGCCTTAAATAGAAAAGTCATCACACACCTAAGAAAATGAAGAGATAAAAGGGAGAAAAAAAAAAACAACCCAAAACATCTGAGTAAGAAAAATAATACAGCAGCTCGTCCTTAAGCAGGCCCTGGCATTTCTTCCCCCAAATCGATTTGACATGCTGCACAAAAATGAGACCAGCGCACAACGTGACTCGCACGGTTGCATGAGCTCAGCATTAGCAAACACTGTCAGGTTTCTGAAACAGCTCCACGGTGATCAAACCCCTCCAAGAAGTTTCCCTGTCAGGTGAAGATATAACACAACGTTGCTGCTCCAGGCTGGTGGACACATCATGCTCCCGCAGCACTGCTGACACCGGGGAAAGCAGCCTGGGCAGGCATCTTCTTTGACAGATGCTTTTGTGTAGCCAATCACACCTATCCCGGGACTGCAGGGATCTGTGGCAAGAGATTTAACAACAGCATAAAGGAATGGGTATTTTTGTTCCCTCATCATTCTTGAGGCTGTTGAAGTCTTAGTTGCCCCAGGGAGGGTGGCTGGGCTCTGATGAATGTGCTACAATGTAGAGCAGCCATAGGGGCAACCACCATATAGAAACATCAGCCTGAAACTGATGGGAAGACAGCTGCTTCTCTTACCCAGATTCCCAAGGAAAGGGCTGATGCTTTGCTCTCTGCTGGGACAATAAAGTTCTTAAGTGCGCTGTTACAGAAACCAGCTAAAAAGTCAGCCCATTAGATGTCTCACCAGATATCCTATTGCCCATCAAGACTTTTAACTCCCCAGTAAACAAACAGGGATGGGTTAAGTCACTAAGCAGGCTCCTTGCCGAGAAAAACCAGTAATTTTGTCTAAAAAAAAGAAGACATGATCTGAAGTCAGCCCTATCCAGCATGCCTTGGCTGTGCATACAGATGATCGTGGCTATCACAGGGGACAAAAGCTGAAGGCAGACACTGTTGCTATAATCCTCAACCACAATACATTAAGCTTTGTTTCCAGGCGGGGTGTATTCCTACAGATTCAGAAGCAGAAGCTGCAGATAAGGCAGGAGGGGGCAGCAGTGGGGTATCGCAAGACCAGGTACTCAGAAGAGCTCTGGAAGAGCACGACCCTTGCAGTCAGTGGTGGAATGGCTGTTCCCTTGAAGGATGCTGTGTGGAGAGAGCCTGAACTAAACACAGAGGGTTTCTGAAAGAGTTCAGAGACGACATAATTGTGCTGGGTGCAGTGCTTTGGAAATGTGGGCCTTCTCAACCAGGAGGAAAGGAAGCCTCCAGTTAGCTCCCCTTCCTTCAAAGTCATAAAACACCAGAGACCATCATCTACTAGTGCAAAACACAGCTAAGCACATAGTTGCCACTACACAAAACATAGAATCCTAGAATAGTTAGGGTTGTAAAGGACCTTAAGATCATCAAGTTCCATCCCCCCTGCTATGGACAGGGACACCTCACACTAAACCATGTCACCCAAGGCTTCGTCCAACCTGGCCTTGAACACTGCCAGGGATGGAGCATTCACAACCTCCCTGGGCAACCACTCCAGTGCCTCACCACCCTAACAGTATGCCTCACTATTTGCTAGTGCTCAAATTGCACAACAAATAGAGAAACCACAGATTTAATTATAAATCTGTCCAGAAGCAGCTGCCTGTTTCACTGTGAAATTATGATGAGGCTTTGCCGCATCTTCCCTGAGACTTCTCAGTTTTAGCTGGAGGGGTAAAAGAAGAGGAAGCTCAAGGAGACATGTGGTTAATCCTCAGAGCTCCCATGAGTCCAGCAGTGAAGGCAACCGTATGGTCTGCAAGTCAAACGCTGCTTAAACTCATCCCCCCAGGACAAAGCTATCATCGCTGGCTTTCCCTGGCCCACTGAAGATTTCATTATGCATTCAGGATAAAAGAGAAGTTAAGTTCAAACCAGTTCATCCTCTAGGGAATAGTCTTACCACAGAAGTCCTGTTTATCCAAAGGGCAAGATGGAGAATTAATTTGAGAGGTGGAAGGACAGTGCACTGTACATGCATTTGCCTGTAAAGTTCTTTTTATAAGTGCTTGAAATTCTTAAGGAAGAACAAGTCCCCAGAAGCTAGAGGTGAGTAATGTAGATGTAGGCCACATGCAAAGGACACAGTCGAACATTCCTGTGGAAAACTGGAAGCCCAAGGTGGGATTTCATAGGCAGCATAAGTCAGTCTGGCTGCAGGCTGCTCCTCAGTATGGTGGTCTGGCTGTGGCCACTTTCCCACAGATCTCCCCACTGGCCCAGCATGATCAAGTGCAGGCTCCAGAGATTAAGAAGCAGGAGATGACTCTTTGCACAGCACTCTCCTGATCAGTTCACCTTAACCCTACAGTAAAACCCCAGCCTGGCTTCTTGTTCCTGCCACAGCACCACATCTTTCCCTTCAGCTGCACTTGCATCACTCCCTCCTGCTCCCGCTCCACCTTCCTGACACATCTTGCCATGGTAAGATGCAGTGTTCCCTGTTTAACACACACCAGTTAAGAGAAACAAAAAGGCTGTGATTAATTGAAAGCCAAACTCTGTTCTCAGCTGGACAAATCTTAATTCAGCATCACTGATGTGCCTGAAATAGTGTTGCTCTGGAATAAGAAGCAGCACAGTATTGCAGTTCCCTGGGCTGAGGGAACCTGACCACCAGTTCACCGAGGAGGCCTCAGGCACACCATTACCTATGTCCCACAACCACAGGAAACTCCACAGGGTAACTAACACAGAAATAAGGCGGTTGGAATAACAAAGGAGGGAAGAACAAAGGATAAACTGTGCTGGCACACACGAAAGGTCTGCCTGTTGCAATGACTTGTCTCCAACAGCTTGGAGAAGGAGAGAAATAACCAAGCAAGCTGAAACTAATGCTCCTCCTGTATACATTCTCCCACTCTCACCACTTGGAAGCTAAAGGACTTCCCAGGTTGAAGGCTTTATCCACAGTTTAGTTTTTATTAGGCCTTTTGGGAATTGGGAATCTGCCTAATCTGTTTACTTTTGTAAACTCATATTGCATTTTTCTTTGACATTCTCTTAGACAGGAAGAACTGGGCTAATCTCAAGGGTTTTGCTTGCACCACCAGAGCTCAGCTCCCTGCTTTACAGCAGAATAGCTCAATTCCTAACTACCTGTGGTCAATACAAATGCCTTGGTTGCTTAAAAACCTCTGCTCTGCCCCAGCTCGCTTTCACAATGGAAGATGGAGGTCGTCAGGCCCACACATGTAAGAGCAAAGTCCTGTTGGGGGGACAGACTGGTATCCAGCAACCAGCAGGAACAGAAACCAGCTCGGATTTTTACCTGCAGCTGGTTTGCTTTGTGTGGCTCAACGCTAAAAAACAATGACAACTGCAAACACAGGAGGTAAATACAACGGAGGTAAACAAGGGAGATAGACCCGTCTACCCCAAGCCTTTGAGAGGTGGTTTCCTTACAGGTCTTGAAACCTCCCACTTAGACCATACAGTACAAGCTGGGTGTTACCAACTGTTCCCCTATGGTCACCACACCACAACCATACAATCCTGCTAGCTGAGTCCCCAGCCTGAGAAAGAGGGAGGCAGGCAAGACCATCAGAACGCTGCTTTTCCCTTGATCTGGGATCCGTGCATCCCCAACACACACATGTAACAAGCCCTCCCCAAAAATCAATAGATCCAGGAGATACTATGCAAATAAACCCTCCTGATTTAAAGCCTGTGCAGAAAGATAGAGGTAATAAATGGAGATGTACTGCAGTTTCCCCGGCTGAAAGATATGAACTCTGAAGTTGAGGTCAGATGCAATCAGCCGAGTAGGCGAGGGCTGACACAATGGCAGCCTGGAAACGCTGTTCAATTACACTGATTGCACGCACACCCTCAAAATAAGGTGAATTGATTTTGATTTCCATCAAGGAGAAATACTGAGCAGGATCCAAGGGCCATGTGGCTCCTGGGAAGCACTGGAGCTGTGAACTCCATCAGGAACAGCTGGCAAGCAGCTTTGGCTCATGCCAGGGAATGGCCCCAAGTTGACAGACTTGCAAGTAGCACTATCCCTCATCGCCACTCATTTCCCGTAACTTGCTTTATTAAAGCACTCATGTGACAATCCATATTTCTCACTCCCACCCCTTTTTCTTTAATACAAGAACTAAGTTTTTAGGTTAACTACAAACCATTGTCTGGTTTCTTGCCTGAACCAAACCTGTCTTTTTCTCCCCTCCAGCTAGACAGGCCAAGGCTGATGCAGTAGGAGCTCCAGCTCAGTTTATCTGTCTGGAAAGATTTTGACTTCTAAATGATTATTTCTTTTTAAAAGGATCCATTTTGGCTTAGTCGGTTCCTGGGTTCAAAATTCCTTCATGCTGATGGTATTTTCTGGGAATTAAATAAAATGCCAATAAACAAATAATCACCAGAAGCAGTGCAGAATCACTTGGTTCCTGACAGGAGGTTACATTTGCTTTAGGAAGGGACAGAGGAAGGGAGGAAAAAGTGCGAGGAAGCCCTTTTGCAAAATTACTGAATCAAACGACAAATCACTTTTTCCAGCAAACAAGCACTGGCCCAAAATGTGTCATTTCCCAAAATGTTTTTTAGATGCTAAGTGCAGCAGCACGGTTCTGAGCCTCTGCTAAGAAAACAGGATATATCCCTTGCTCAAGCTCAAACTAAAGTAACCTCTTTCTGCGGCTTCTACCCAAGGCCACAGATGGGTGAACTTCTCTTAGACGCTATTCTTCACTTCCCCTGACACCAGATATGAGATAAATACCCAAGAACTCCATGCCCTGATGCTGCGAACAGACTGTGATGATGCAGAGGAAACCCACGTTGGCTACTTCAGTCCTTTCACCACACACACTCCTACAAATTGTATCAGAGGCACTCAGTGTTTTCTCTCATGTCGATACTGGCCTGTCTACCTTGTAGCTTTTCCCTCTCTTCTGGTTGCCCCCCCAGACGTCACAGTCTGTGATAAGCAGGGGATGGACTTTTGCGCAGCAATCCCTCCCTCCATAAGGGAGTTTCCTGAAGAAACAAAGGGTGAGCAGTGCAGGAGCAGTGGCCTGTGACCTTGACGACTCCAGAAAGACCTTCAGCAGCTTCACCCTCTGCCCATTTTAGTCTTTTTTTAAAGCATAAGCACTGAAGATAAGAAACTATCCTTAACATTTGTAATAGTTACCGTTTCGAGCGCAGCAGTGGGCTATCCCTGATGCAGGGCCTGGTTGAGTACATGGTTATCTCCTCTCACACATAGAATCATAGAATGGTTTGGGCTGAAAAGGACCCGAAGATCATTATTTCCACCCCCTTGTCATGGGCAGGGACACCTTCCACTAAACCAGCTCCAAGCCTCATCCAACCTGGCCTTGAACACTGCCAGGGATGGGGCAGCCACAGCTTCTCTGGGCACCCTGTGCCAGCGCCTCAGCACCCTCACAGGGAAGAACTTCTTCCTTATATCTAACCTAAATCTCCCCTGTTTAAGCTTGAACCTGTTACCCCTTGTCCTATCACTACAGTCCCTGATGAAAAGTCTCTCTATAGCATCCCTGTAGGCCCCCTTCAGATACTGGCACATACCACATTCAAAAATATAAGCAACGTTAGCAAAGGTAAAGCATTCCACATTCAGCACCACTACAATTCACATTGTCTGGATCATCCTAATTCAATTTCTTTTTGCATTTGTATAGTACCATGGATTATGGTCAGAATCAGAGTGAAATCTTTAGCCTAAACCTTAATTGATCAAAACTGTGTATTCAATAACAGTAGATCATTCCATGACTTCCTCTGTTCCACTCAACTGCTTGTGTGAAGGCAAAGCACAAAAGTCCATTTGTTCTGAACATTTCAAAAGGAGCACCTCAATATTTAAATAGAATTTCCCTTTGGTTTGGCTTTGGAAAAAGCCCAGCTATACAAAGTAATTTGTTCAGTTTAAAATAGAACTTCCCTTCCATTCCTCAAAACTGTGGGTGAGTCAAAAGAACAGTTAATTGCAGAGCTCCTACTGGATCTGGTACCTCCAGCCCCACTTCTAGTAATGTTTGAAGTACCCCATGCAAAATCTCTGTTAGCAGTTGCACACATTTCAATGGACATAGACTGAGGGCCTGGGGACCAAAACACAGCCTGGAACAGTCTCCATCTGATGGGCAGCTGCAACTACTGCAGAGTTAGAGGTGGCATTTCAGATGTTGTCCTGGTGCTCCTGACTCACCTCTCCCTTCAGAGACTCCCATACTGAATCAGCTCACTTTACAAGCCACATGATAACGCACCAACAGAGGTGGGAAGTGTCTTTACCTTTGCACACATAACTTCTCTGATACTTTCAGACCCTGCTGCAGCAGCAGGTAGTGAGAAGCTCAAGCCTCAGGTCCTGTCCCTCTTACCACAACACTCATCCACAGCTCTGTTGGTGTCCAGGTTGCAGCTTCTTCTCCATCTACTGCTTCACCACATCACATTCCATTTACAACAAGGCGGGGGCTTCCCACCTTTCCATTCAGGCATCCACATTTACAAGCTCTGCAGGCTCCCTGTGCTAGCCTGTTTCCCTTCTGGAGCCCATGGCTTTCAATGTCCATGCTGGTAGCAGCTTCTAATGCTGCTATGCCGTGGCCACCACATCGCCAGGCTTCAATGTACCCTCATTGCCCTACTTGCAAGACTAGTTGTCTTGTCCTGTCTCTCACAGTTACTCTCTCTATCCTGGGGGTTTCCTTCAGGAAGAGGGACTGGTTTGCTCCAGCCCAGGGAAGCCAGAGGCCCCAGGCATCAGTGCTGTGCTCAGCAAAACCCAGCAGCACATGGCAAACCCAGTAGCTCCATTAGCAGCAAATGGTACATAGCAGTGCTATATAGAACAGTCTGATCACGGAAAGATTCCCTAAAGCAGGTCTTAGGAAAAAAGAGCTGAGTATGTGATTTCACCTTCCAGTTTAAACATCCGTATGCCAGATAATGACAACTGCCTACTAAACTGCAACTGCGAATCAGCAGATAAACACACTTCATCTCATGCCTTGTCCCAATTACTTTAAATAGGTATTGCTGAGTCAGTGGCTTGGATTACAGAAATTGGAGATCTTTAGTAGAATTAGACAGCTTTCCAGGTTTGCACAAAGTGCCCTAGAAGCAGATCAAAATGGGAGCGCTAGTTCCAGTCAGGTTCATTGTTGGAAACAAGCTTCCTATAAAAACACACCCAATGAAATCATTAATGTTACAGAGGTTATCTTTCCTCCACACATGCCACAGCAAGAATCCTCCAGTGGTGTGCTCCCAGTGGTCTCCTTGGGGCAACCAACTTCCTTGGTTAGCACAGATCTCCATCCCTAAGATGAAGGCCTTTAGCCCCCGGCTATCAGTGCTCCCATTCAGCAGCAGGGCTACGGAACACCCAAAATGGCATAACTCACCGTTGGCCTCTTCCATTGTATTTGACGCAGCTTATCCTCTGGGAGCAGGTTAGGACCGATGGAGCTGACATGAGCAGGGAAGGTGGCATCCTCAAAAAGCACTCCTTGGCTCAAACACGAGGCTCGCAGGCGGTTGAAGTCCTGGTTATTAAATTTCTTCAGGTTCTGGAGGCTTCCCATTGTCCCTGTTGTTTGCCAGCCCCGCTCCGACGTCAGACCAGAGCCAGGGGCAAACATTGTGCCCCTATCCTGTGAAGAGGAGGCATGGACTGCTATTAGTTTCCTGATCAAAAATGGTGCCTTAGGAATGTATGGGAAAGCAAACATCTTCCCCTGCCCCCGAGAGTTTTATGCTTGCGAAGCTGAGGGCAGTCACAGTGACAAAATCCTTATTAGCTAGAAATGCATGGGGAAAGAGTCGTTGTCAAATCCCAACTGGTTTATCTTAAACCAGTGCTGTCACTGCTACAAATTCAATTTTGAGTCTACCCTAAAGACAGAGAGCAAAGCTGTTAGCAAGCTGCTGTGTTAGCATTGAGGTACATCTGCAACACAAGTGAAAATGAGGGATGGAGCAGGAGCTGCAGACATAGGGGAAGATGGAGGTGTGCAAGCAGGAAGGATGCTGTGATGTACCCAGGGCTCTTCTCGTCACGTATTATGCCTGTGAACATGGCATTTTTGAGTTGCTTGATTTCATTTCCATTAGTAAGGGCTTGATGGTCACTCTCTCTGAGATGTTAAGAAGGCAGAGACTTACCTTCCCTTGGGATCTGCTCCAAAGACCCCATGCGCATTGGGAGTGGCTTCCAACCAGCTTACACAGACAACCCACTAGACTCCCTACAGTGCTGATATAGGACCAGCAGTTCCTGCCCACAGCTTCCACTTAAGATGTATCTTCTCATAAATTAGCACTAGAAGATCCACCACATGCCCTGGGCAAGCCACTCCTACATTTAATTAACTAACTTCACTGTGTTAATTTCTAGCCTGAAGTCACTTAATTCCACTTCTAAGTCACAGGATGTCACAGCTTCACCCCCCCTCCCCCTTTTCTTCTATTTATTTATTTATTTATTTATTTATTTCTATTTTTGGTAGATGAAAGGCTCTTTCCTACCAAACTCATCTGTAGGTCCAAGATGTTCCTGGTGCAGCAGAGAGAGCAGATGGCTCCAGCAAGAGCAAAGCCTCAGATTCGTGTTGAGAATCGTTCACACACATGAAAAACACACTGAAGGTGTGATACAGCCCCCCCCCCCCTCCATGTTTTGCCTTAGTGTAATCCCCTTTCTCTATCCTTCAAGTCACTTGGCCTCTTGGCATTAAACAACAACATAGAAAAAATAAGGAGTTTTGCATCTCATTGTTGTAATTAAAAGCCCCACAAATAAATCAGATAGAATTCAGAAACCTCCCTCGGCCAATAAGAAGAGAACATTCCCCTTGGGCTTGCATTTTTTAATACAATGGAAATAAATCTCATGTAATGTACCATAACACGACAAGGGAATGGCTTCTTCTTAACAAATACTCATTTGAAACTGTGCCCAGGCCCCATGCATGCTAAGATCTATTTCTTGCAACAGTGTTCCAGCAAAACTGATTAGTAATTCCAAAACTCAAATTAAAACTAACAGAGCTTGAAGGCTGGGTCTGACACACGTTTCCTCTCTTCTGACAGAGAACAAGAGTTTTTAGCGTGCATGTGTGTGTGTGTGTGTGTGTGTTTAATTGCGTTGTTTAACATATCCGGAATAAATTAGCATCCAGACTGAAGAAAAGAATACACTTAACTACTTCTCCCTGGCAGGGATAACTTTATCAGCATTGTGTCTGGGGCACACATGCACAGATACATGAGCAATATATGCATCCCTGCCACTGTGCAGGCAGCCATACCTAGCCGGCATTGCCCTGCCTGCACCAGCACGCTCTGCCAGCCACCTCGATTGGAGGGGGAAGCATCCTCTCCTGGTTAACCTTCATGGGTGCATCAGCAACAGCTTTTAGAGCAGAATATTGCCTACCTGGCAGGGGGAGCTTCTTACCGTTACTGAACTCTGAGACAGAAAGACTTTAAAGGGACAAAGTCATAATGCAATAGGTCTCAGAGGCATTGCCCTTGGACTGGTCCTTGCTACAAGATGTTGGAGGAGAGAGGATTTCAAACACTTGCAAAAGTTGGTGTCAGACATAGAATAGTTTGGGTTGGCAGGGACTTTAAAGATCATCTAGTTCCAACCCCCTGTGTACACATATTTTGTGCACAAATGTCACATGTTACACAAATTCTGGAGAAAAACAAGAGACTGCCTCTCAGCTAAGGACGGAAATCATTATTCACAAGGGATTAAACATTTACTTAGTCCCGGCATCGCCTCCAAAACATTTATTTACCTGAAACTGAGAAAGGTGAAATCACACCCCAATTTGCATCTGCTGCTTTTTTTTGATTCCTCTTCCTTCTCAGCAGGGAGAGATCCGTCTTCTTGCTGGCTGTCTCAGAGGGTCGAACTGTGAGGGTGGGGAAGGGAAGGAGAACAGTGGGAAAGTTACAGAGAGGATAAAAAGAGATCAGGTGTGACAGTTGGAAGGGATGGGAAAGAAAGGGGAGTCCCTGAGGATGTCAGAACAAAAAGGTTGGTAAACCCTGCAGAAACTAAACCTGGGAGCCACAAGCACCCACCATTTCCTGCATTAAACAGCTTAAAAACCAGCAGCAAAGGGTGTCTCTCGTTTCCCTCCAGCATTCATTCATGAAAGATGTCAAGCCACTATTATAATCAGGTACTCAATGGTGGCAAATGCTACTGACAGCTAATTACACTTTGCATAAAGATTTATGTCAGAGTACAGACATAATTTCCTTCAATGGCTCCTGATATTTTTCACTGAGTAAAAAAGTAAAAATAGGCAATTAGAAAACATGTGTCTGCTTCACAGTGAGCCCTCTCCTTTCCACTGATTTCCCAAAACATTTCCATTCTGTGATGGCTCAGCTGGCTTTCTGTACCTTAGGAAGAGCAGCTGGATTTTCTCAAACAATACAAAGAACACCAGGAAAGCCCAAAATCCAGCAGCCCTTCTTTTCCTGTTTCCCCTCAAACGCTCCAAACTATCTATGTACGTTTCATCTCACCCCCATAATATTCAATACATACTACAAGTACTATTCCCCTCTAAGACACTGCCATTCGCATATTTGGAGCACTGTAAAAGCTTCAGGGAGTCAGCTCCAGAACTGTCTTACAGTGAAGGGAAGTGTGAGTTTGGGAGCTCTCCTTGCATTCAGATTAAAAACACCAACAGCAAAATGACCTGAACTTGGACACCCCAGACCTCAGATGGACAACATCTCCTTGTACCTACAATGTGTGAAAGCCTTGAGAGCACAGAAAATCAAAACCAAAGCCAGGCATCTGGCAATCCTCCAGGAGACTACTTCTCCAGTAGCATCTTGCACAACCTTCTGCTCCAAAAAGCCTAAGAAATACTCCCTCCTGGCTATTTATTAAGTCAATTTTCTCCTCATTTTGCATACATAGCATAGGACAGTTCCAGATACCTTTTTTCTACCTCATTTAACAGCAGCCTACAGTAACTATAGAGACCTCCTCATCTTAGGATCTCCACTCCCACTTGATTCAATTACTTCTGACAACTTACCGTTTTACTATGAGGCTCTTTCTAGGACAGCAAATTCATCTTTTCTTTCCCTCCAGGTAACATTAAGGACAGGGACTCTAATTTATCCTCTCTCTCCAAGCAAAATCATTCTCAGTGTGTCTGTGGTGCTTTGCCAGCACCATTACATGTATTTCACCTGCTTCATCTTGTACTAAGTAAAACGGCAAAGGGATGTTTTACCTGCAACGCCTCCGGTGTAACTCTCCAGCCAACACCAACAGTGACAGACAGGCTGGCACTACCCATGTTCTCCTTTATAGGGCAGCTTTTGCCACGCCTTAAGTAAACGTAACTGAGTTGAAATCAAGTTCAAGGCCAAAAGCAAGAAATCAGACTTGGGTGTAATAGTTTCATGCAGACATCATACCATGGGGAGATAAATATATACATCTATTAGCCATCCACGATGTCAATCTGTGTCAGCTGACAGATTCCTGTTAAAGTTATGCTTATTAGAGAACAGGATTTGTTTGCACCTCCCACATTTTTACGTTATCTGTTTTCCTCCTCAAACCATCAGGAAATGCAGCAATCTCCCTGGATCCAGGCACAGCCTGGCAGGACTCACCAGGAGACAAGTTATCAGAGCTGTGTGTCATTCTTTCTGTAGCAGCAAAAGGAGTGGATACTCTCAGACCAATACCTGTTGGCATTTACACTGGGCTCTCGCTTAAATTCACATCAGTTCTCCCACTTGGCATTTCGTTTCCTTCAGGACTGCTTGAGGAAGTAAGAGTTATCCATATATTCAGGAGACGTAGGGGCCCGGTTTTCATTAAACTAAAGCCTAAAGCCAAAGAACTAAAGAGTTCTAGCAAAAGTATGGGAAGGAGAAGGTTATTTCATTTTTGGAAGGCCAAACTGAGATAGCCTAAAGAGACACAAAATTCAAGGGAATGAGTGCAGCACATTCTCAGGGACACATTCCCTGGCAGCAATCCTGAGTGTATTCCTATAGACTGTAGATGTGTTTTTGAAGGAAAGGCACTCGATGTCCTCGTGGACAGCAAACTGAACAAGAGCCAACAATGTGTCTTTGCAGTACAGCAAACCGGCAGCATCTTGGGCAGCATGAGCTGCAGCATAGCCAGTGGGTGAAGGCAGGTGATCCTTCCCCTTTGTGCAGTGCTTTTGAGACCGTATCTGCAGTACTGGGTCCACTTTTGGGCTGTCCAGTGTAAGAGGGGCACTGAGAATGCAGCAAGTCCAACAGAAACCCAGCCAGGTGGTCAGGGAGCTGGAGTACATAGTGTGAGAGAAGAGGCTGAAAGAGCATATCTGCTCATCTACCAGGAAGAGACCAAATTGTAGCCTCCTACTATCCAAAGGCAGTTACAGAGAAGGTGGAGCCAGACTCTTCTTGAATGGGAGCAGACAGGCAGAGTCCTATTGACTCTGCACAAGCAGCAGCAAGGAAAATTAACACAAGGCTGGAGTAAGAAAGGTCTTCAAGGTGGTTTAGCTGAGGAGCAGATGCCTGGAGAGACTGGAGCATCTCCACCCCTGGAGACATCAGCTGATAAGGCCATAAACAATATCACCTAACTTGGAAGTCA